AGCCATTTCTTTAAGAAGCCTTGGTCTGTTTGGTTGGAGAACGGTATTTAGAAGCCAAAGAAGGGATGGAAGTAAGCACTTCCCCAAAGTGAAAATAAACATTACTTAGCAGCAACAGCTAAAAGAGCCAACAGTTGAACAAAGTGACAGGACGGGAAGCAGAAGAGGAAATAGTGCTCTGGGGCTAGACAAAGGCATGGAGCCCCTCCTAGTGGTGGGAGGGCAGCATGGTCACTGGAGTTTGCATGGCAAATTCTAGAGTCTCACGTTGCAGACCAAACATGTCAAAAAAGGAAAGGCCAGCAGAGCTGCGCGGGCGGCCTGGTGAGGCTGGCTCAGGACCAGCTCCCAAGCTACCTGCCAAGGGTCGGGGGAATGAGGATATGCTCACCCGAGAGTTCAGCATGAGAGGCTGCAGCATGGGGAAGCCGCAGAGCGTGACCAAGGTGGACTGAGATGAAGGGTAGGTCACAGTGACAACCTCACAGGGGTTTAGCAGGAAAAGAAATTCTTTTTGGAATTTAAACAGGGAAACCCTGACCACGCCAAGTAGCTTCCTATAAGTGAAACAACCCAGGAAAATGAAGGACAGCCCAAGGCAGGTGGAAGGAGAAGGGGGAAAGAAGGAGGAGGGAAGGAGAGAGAACGCCCAGCCAGCTGCAGTGAAACAGTGTGCCAGGCACGTGAAGGAAGCCATCTTGAATGTTCCAGCCTCAAGACACCATGACAAGGTGGCAGCAGATATTATCATAGAGACACTCATGACTAGAAAGGCTAAGTGGCTTGCTTGGGGTCCCTAGGTTCTTGGATTCTACTCCAGGTATCCCTAAAGTCACCTGTTTCTGCCACACGCCACCTTATAAGAGGAGGTTTGCTATGGTCCACCCCTTGTCAGTGTGTGTGTGCCTGTGTGTGTGTTTCTACACAAAGAAAGAGATTTCACAGTGGCTCAAGCCTGTAATCCCAGCACTTTGGGAGGCCGAGGTGGGTGGATCACGAGGTCAAGAGATCGAGACCATCCTGGTCAACATGGTGAAACCCCGTCTCTACTAAAAATACAAAAAATTAGCTGGGCATGGTGGCGCATGCCTGTAATCCCAGCTACTCGGGAGGCTGAGGCAGGAGAATTGCCTGAACCCAGGAGGCGGAGGTTGCGGTGAGCTGAGATCGCGCCATTGCACTCCAGCCTGGGTAACAAGAGCGAAACTCCGTCTCAAAAAAAAAAAAAAAAAGAAAGAGATTTCAGGAATTGGCTCAGCCATTGTAGGGGCTGGCAAGTCCAAAATTTGCAGGACAGGCCAGCAAGCAAGAAAGTCAGGCAGGAGTTGATGCTGAGGTCTCGAGGCCGAATCCCTTCATCTTCAGGAGACTGCAGTTTTTGCCCGTAAGGCCTCCTTCGACTCATCGGATGAGGCTGACCCACATTATCAAGGGTCACCTCCTTCACGCAAGGTCAGCTGATGGTACATGTTAAGTACCTGTAAGAAGTACTTTCACAGCAAACACTTTAGAGTCACTTCAATTAACTGGCTACCTCCGCCAGCCAGGCGGACACTTAAGACCACATCAGAACTCTTTTGTCCAGGGCTGAAACTAACCCAGGGGTTTTGCCACGCATCGGACATCCAGGACGTCCTCCTCACTCTCCTTTCCAGCTAGTGACACTGCACTCAGACCACAGTACAACCCGGAGGAGCCGTAGTTTCCTCGTGGGTGGGAGACAAATACGGCAGGACACTTCTAGCTCATTTGGGTACAAAGGCTCGCTGGCCTATAGGTTCCCTATTTTTCTGAGTCATTATCCATGAAACAGTAGATGTTTAAATAATTCTGAAAAGGCAGATTGCCAAAAAGAGTGGTGGCAGAAGTTCCCAAACAGACTTTAAAAAGTAAGTAAAATATTAAAAAGTAATTAGAGATAGAACTAAAAAGCGAAAGCGAAAATCCATTAAACCAACAGAGTTCTGTGGACATGAAACAAAGTCCAATATCATAAAAGAATCCAGAGCAGAAGATAATGAAATCTGTAAGGAATTTAAATGATCAAATCTTTGCATGAAAGAATAATCTTAAAATTGATTAAAAAATAATTTCTTTAAATACTAGGAAGCAATCTTCAAGCACCAAGGGTGGCTTTCAAGTAAGAAAAAGACTTTTCCATTTATAAAATACAGTTTATATGCCAACTACTTCGAATAAAGATTTGAGGAAAGCACATATGAAACTAGGCAAAGTAAAGGTGGATTTTTAATCGTCCGGAAAGCTTTTGGAAGGCAGGAGAATAAAACCAAAACTTAACTGAATGTGTGTGAGTAAAATTTGGCTTTGAGCCTCCTGGCAACTGAAGCAGAAGTAGAACACGAGAGACTCACCACTCCTGCTTTGGAGCACGCTTTTGCGAAAAGGCAGCATCACCTCCTGGAAACTAGTTATTGGGAAACAAACAAGAAATTTCACTTTTTAGTGTAAAAAGGCATGGGTATACATAAAGTACATAATGGGTGTGTAATAGTCTAAGTGATATACAGTATGGCTGTACTATTACAATTTCATCATGAGGCTGGGTACGGTGGCTCATGCCTGTAATCTGAGCACTTTGGGAGGCCGAGGTGGGCAGATCACAAGGTCAGGATATTGAGACCATCCCGGCCATGGTGAAACCCTGTCTCTACTGAAATACAAAAAATTAGCCAGGCAGGATGGCACAAGCCTATAGTCCCAGCTACTCAGGAGGCTGAGGCAGGAGAATCGCTTGAACCTGGGAGATGGAGGTTGCAGTGAGCCGAGATCGCGCCACTGCACTCCAGCCTAAGCAACAGAGCAAGACTCCATCTAAAAAAAAACCATCATGAGAGTGATGGAGGGAAAAAATGTCTAAAAAGTATCCTTGAAAGGCCACTGTGGAAAAAAAAAAGGTTAAGAAATACTGTTTCTGTGCAGAAGGGATATGTCCCTGCACGTACAGAGGCAAACCTTCCCCTGGAACCTCATTCCAGAAGGAATGCATGCAGCAGGCACTGCTTCGTGGAGGCCAGCTCATTATGGTGTTGCCACCCATCCACTGACTGACAAGGTGAGGAAACGCTGCATCTGCATGCAATGTTTGGAAGTTTACTCACTGGTGAATACATGAGCATATTTATAATTCACATAAATAATAGGAAATTTCTGCAACATTTTGTCTGTCTTCACTTTTCTTTCTCTAACTCTGTTCTGTGTTCTCTGCACACCTCCTAGCTCGAGAGGTCCCTGAGGGATATATGGACCTCAGGGGGCTGTCGGGTGGGGATTCCAGCCAGGGCTGTGCTGTGTGAGGATTAACCCAGTCAATGCGGGGCGAGCAGGAGCCCACACACCATTCCACAAGAAAAGAATCATTTCTCGTAGGGCCCGGAACTATTCTTTCTGCTTATTTTTTTATAAATACAATTATATTTTATATACTTTTATAAATTTTATAATTTTGGCCTGGCGTGGTGGCTCACGCCTGTAATCCCAGCACTTTGAGAAGCTGAGGTGGGTGGATCACGAGATCAGGAGTTCCAAGACCAGTCTGGCCAAGACGGTAAACTCCCATCTCTACTAAAAAAAAAAATACAAAAATTAGCTGGGTTTGGTGACAAGCACCTGTAATCCCAGCTACTCGAGAGGTTGAGGCAGGGAATTGCTTGAACCCAGGAGGTGGAGGTTGCAGTGAGCCAAGATCATGCCACTGCACTCCAGCCTGGATGACAGAGCGAGACTCTGTCTCAAAAAAAAAAACCCATTAAATTTTGTAATTTTAATTTTTTAATAAATTATATATTTTATTTATAAAAATATTTTATTTAATTTTTATAGATGGAGAGAGTTTTGCTCTTGTTGCCCAGGCTGGAGTGCAGTGGCGCAATCTCAGCTCACCGCAACCTCTGCCTCCTGGGTTAAGCATTTCTCCTGCCTCAGCCTCCCAAGTAGCTGGGATTGCAGGCACCTGCCACTATTCGTAGTTTTTGTATTTTTAGTAGAGACGGGGTTTGGCCACGTTGGCCAGGCTGGTCTCAAGCTCCCAAACTCAGGTGATCCACCCGCCTCGGCCTCCCAAAGTGCTGGCATTACAGGTGTGAGCCACAGAGCCCGGGCTATTCTTTCCATTTTGGGTGGCCGCTTACATAATGTGGAGCACAGACTGTCCAAAAACAATCTGCCCCCAGGCTGGGCTCTCCGTGCTCTCCTACAGGGGTGTGGCCATTGGATGATTTCTGGGGTTGGGGTTAATACTCAGCTTCTCACACACTCCACAGAAGATGAACATTCATGTTGGTGAAACAGTAAGATTCATGAAGAAAATGTCCCACATTCACTCAGGTCCACAGTTTCTTCGGGGTGGACTGGATATTTACAAGCATGAATATGTCAGAGGACAGCAGCTGAGTGTCAGGAAGAGCCTCCCAGCTTCCTGGGCTCCACAGTAGCCTCCTCTGAGGCCAGGTTAGGGGCTGGGCAGAGGGGCACATCCTTATGGCTTCCACACACCTGGCAGGAGCAGAGGTGAGAGCCCTGTCCATTGAGAAGAGGACCCCCTGCCTTCTTGGTTTCTTGCCGCCTGCCCCGCCCCCCCGCCCTGATCCAGCCAAGTAGGCCCTGGAGAAAGCTCTCAATGTCCAGGCCTCTACAGCGAAATCACGCACCCACTAACCAAAGCCCTCTCTCAAATGAGCAGCTGAAGAGAGGCCCAGGGGAGGTGCAGCCACAGAGCCCTCAGAGTCTGGTGATGGGGAAGCGCTTAGCAGGGCTCTGCTCAGCTCCTGTAGATAAGGACATGCAGTCATGCATGGGGGACATGGGCGCTTCCTATCTGGGCTCCAGATCAGACAATTAACAGAGAGGATTTAAAACAATGTTTGAGGACGAGGTGCATCTGTAAATGTATGTCACCAAGCTCTTTAACAAAGCAGAATAGAAAAAGCAGCATTTGTATTTTACAGTCAAGGACAAAAACATGATATATCAGACACTGTGAGTCTTTCAAAATGACATTTTATTTTTCATTGTCAATGATTAACTTCTGAGTCTATTAGAAGAGTATCATGATTATAGTGAATAAAAAAATATAGATGATAGAATACAAATATTAGGTTACACAAAGTTAGTTTTTTAAAAAATCATTGTCCACCAACATTTTCAGGACTTCAGGGTTCTGAAAAAAATTTTAATTTGTGTGTTTTTTTAAAACACTTCCAGCTGTTAAACATTAAGAACACATAGGGAGAATCCTCTGTGGATGCCTATTATAATAAACAGAAGGACCACCAAAAATTAAAACGAGTTCTAAGAACCATCATATATACAAACTTCTGTACAGAATGAGGACAAAAACCATTCACCCAATTAAAACCAGCTCTTGTGGTACACATACTCTTTCAATAAACAACAAAAATTCATCTTCCTATATTTACTTGTTTTTCCATTTGATTCAGTATTCTGAATGCTGTTTCTACCCCATAAATTAGTAACTATTCAGTAGCTGAGAAAGATCCTATTTTAAATGATGCCCGGAAATCAGGAACTTCCCTGGAGGGGCTCAACTTCATTGAGTTGGAGACACACCTCAACCAACGAAGTCACACTACTGGCTGGAACAAGGTTCGTCCTACAGAGGGACAAGGAGGATTCTTCTCCATCATCACTGCACAGTTTCCCAAGAGTGAAGGCCTATCCTCTCTTACTTGGCTGAGCTCAGAGCAATTGAGCTCTTTGCAAATGCAAGTCATTTGGCACAAAAAGAAAGAATGTTTGGGCAAGACTCAGGCTCTCTCAGAGCCAGACACACTCAGAGGCCCCCAACTCTGCAACCCTGAGGGCACATCCCAGACAGACGCGCCTCCCCGACCCACCTTGCTCCATGACGCTAAAGGCCGCTCCATGGCGGGAACTGAACTCCTCTGAAGGAAAAGCAATTGCACGAAATGTTAACATCACAGGCCCATTGAGGTAAACAGCAGACTCAGGGTGCACAGAGGGAGGGGACATGGAGACGGGGAGGGGCAGCGCACTCTTTCCAGACAGGCTTGCGACTTCACTGCACAATCCCGGAGTCCACTGATGTCTGCTTGCGAGTTGTCTTTGGAGGGGGAGGAGGCGGAGTTTTGCTGGGCAGTGGAGGTGGCAGATGCTGGAAAACACGAGGATGGGGAAGACATCATATTATTGATGTTCCCGACAGAGGAGAAGCCGTCTCCAGGCGGGGTCTGACCTGGCAGAGCCACTCAGCCGGAACCATCCTCTCCACGTGAACTGGGCTCCATCCTGTCTGACGCGGGGCTGGAAGGTCTGCTTGGCTCAAGGCAGGGCTGCTATGGCCCTGGGCCTTTCTGATGCCTCTGAGCATTCTCCCGCCATCTGCACAGCTCCCGAGAGGTACCATTGCTCTTTGCGCCACCTGTTAAAATCCAGATGCTATCGACCTAGTTATCTATTGTCCAAGGGATAAAGGAGTCTTTAGAGACACTCCCCGGGGGTGAGACAAGAGACCCTCCTTTGCTTTCTGCGCTTCGGGCAGAGGTTAGCAAGCTTTTCTTGGACAGGGCTACTTAGTAAATATTTCCAGCTTTTCAGCAGGCCACATGGTCTCTGTTGCACTGCAGCCCAAAAGTGGGCACTGACAGTGTGTACAGAAAGGGGTGTGGCTGTGTTCCAAAAAAACTACTTATAAAAACAGGTGGCTGGCTTCAGCCCATGGGCCAGAGATTACCTTAGAGTCACAAAAAAGGACGTAAATTTCCAATGTAGAGATCATCGAAAACCTCCTACTGAATGGACCTGGCGGGAGTGTTACGACTGAGGGCAGCTGTACCCTATGGCTTCTGGGACCCTGATGCCCATCACACACAGCTGATGTGCAGGAGACGCTCTGTACATATGGGTCAATCAAATAGGAAAATGAATGAATGAGTGAATAAATAAATCAGTGAATGAATGGGTGGGTAAATAAACAAAGAAATGAAGGAAGAAATGAACAGACCAGGGTAAGTAGGAGCATGCTATAGCAGAGGAGCTGGAATGAAATCATAGAACACTGTCATCTAACTTAAGGGTAAGAGTGGATTTTTAACAGCCTCTCAGTGTGGGCTTGCATTTAGCTGAATGTGAGAAAAGAGATTTTAAAGGATAGACACTCATCACCCAGATTTCCTCCTGATTCACAGATGACTAAATACAAAACATGACCTAACACATAGAGGAGAAGAAATGTGGAGAAGTAAAACTGACATAAAGATATTACATGCGTAGACGACCTTATATAAAGGAAGGTAAAACAGTAAGAAGTCTTTTTAAGGTTGGGTAGAACTGTTAAGAGACACCTGTTTTGAGGTCTGGTGAAAGGTTTGCTTACATATGAAAGCCACACTGATTGGCCAATGAGGTGATGGAAAGGACCAGACTAACACGGCCTGATAGCAACACAGCGCTTCAGATGACCTCTGTGCCAAATATGAGCATGTCCAAAATTTATCACCATTGAGCAAAATGATAGCTCCGATTACTGACAGCAAGAGCCATTTGGAAAGAAATGACAGCTTAGTGGCAACAGCTAGAGACAGAGTTGCCTACAAGCCTGAGGCTGATCAATGAGAGTGACAGGAGGATATTGATCACACCCCCACCATGGCAGATGGATGATCATTATCCTAGAGCAGCTCTCAGGGCCTGTGCAAAGGGAGGCACCCCAGGAAATGCAACCGCCTAATGATGACATACTAACCACCAACATGTCACCTGAGCCTGCGTTCAGGCTGCAAGTCAATTAAACAAGAAACAAAGACTGAAGACACTTGGGTCACTAATCTAATTGAATTCACACCCCCTTTATGAATTGAGACAGTGCTAATCCATGTTATCCCTTACTTAATCAACCATATGTGGCCTCAGTAAGCCACACTGGTGCATCCAAGACACGGAGACAATAAAATGTTACCTGGGAGTTGATCTGTAACAAGAAGTGGAATTGGTTGTAATTCTAAATTTAGAATTTCCAGATTACTAGTGTAGGGAGACTAGGGGGACACTCCTGCTTTTCCAATAAAACAAAGAGATGAAAATGTGACCAATGAACAAAGCTGTTAGGGAAACCATACTCCAAGCAACCCAGTATTCTTGCTAGACCCCCCACATCTCCGTATCCTCTAACAAGAAGTTAGAAATGCCCAGGGAAGGTCAGGCTTCCATTTCTGTGTTGCAACAAACCACTGCAGCCTGCCAGAAAGTTTTCTTCACAGGGGAACCTGGTTCCTCCTCCAGGACCTCATCGAGGCGTCACTAAGGAGCATCTCTAAGCAGCATCTCTAGGGACCCTCCAGTTCCCCATCGAGGTGTCTCTAGGGAGAAGAAGCCTGTTTAAATGGCACTTGGGCCTCGGAAGAGCAATCTGCCTCTCCGATATTAAAGATGAAGACCCACTGCTTGTTTAGTTTTCTGGTACAAAGGGAATGATGAAATGCACATGCTGTAAATAAACACCCTCTCTCTTTCACTCCTCTCATAAGGGATGTAATAACCTTGTGGAACACTCCGTGAACAAGTCTCCAAAAAAAAAAAAAAGAAAAAGAAATGACATGTGGAATTTATATTGTTTATTAAAGCAAAAAACAAAACCATGTGTCTCACCACTACAAGAAAAACAGAGCCAGCTAGCAATCTCATGTTTTCAACGTTCTATAGTTTTGTGGCCATATAATTACTTTACGGAGGATGGATAGCAAAAAAATATGGCCAGCTGTCCGGATACAGAGAGGGGTATTTTACTTTTTAGACTGCACTGATTTAATTTTCAAATCGTATTCACAATCACACGGCACGGGGAGGGCTTAGCCTGGAAGCAGAAGTTCCTCCAGCGGCTGAGTCAGTCATGCGCACGCCTCCACCCGCCTTAAGCTACCGGTCCGCACAGGCCTGGGCCTGACACAAGAGGATGGGGCTGGGACTCAGGACTCACGACAGCATCCTTGAGAACGAGGAGAGGAACGGGATGGATCTGAAAAGAATGTTTCTAGGACTGTCGACTGGTAACCGAGGTGCTTATTTAAATGGCTTTTTATGACTTTGACTAATATTTGGATGGGTAGGCAGGCCCAGGAGCTGTTCAGCAAAAGGGACGTCAGGTGAGTGACTAAAACAGCTGCTGGGGGTACCAGCTTCAGGGACTCATGCTGAAGAGGGGTTCCAGCAGGTTGCTTGGGTTTACAAAGGCCGGTGCTGGTGGAGGAAGCCAGGCCAGCACCCCCAGGCCAGCACAGAGCACTGAGGAGGGTGCTCTGTGGCTAGGCGCCAAACCTGGCTCTCCTCTGCAGTCTCTGAACGTTAAGTGCCTGTCACCACCCAGGAGCTCCCAGTGCCATGGTGAGGCTGCCTGGAGGAATGGCTGGAGATGAGCTTCTCCGGGGCCAAGCAGGGATACAATAGGTGCCTGCCACAGGGTGATACTGGCCAACCTCTTAAAAAGTCAGACAGACCTCTTCATAAGCTACTTCTCAAAAATCAAAATTTCGTTAAGAATTCCATCTCCAGTGGAATGATCTCCGTGGTGTAACCAATGACAAGCTTGGAATGTCTATCCTCCTCCGGGTTCCGAGGCATGACAGCAAAACGTGCCTTTTGATGCAGTTATTGATAATGATGCAGAGCCACAGATCTTACCTACCAGAGTCCTTTCTGCTCCGACAGCTTTTTGCAAAAAGTCAAACCTGGGCCTGTCACACGTGGTTTTTCTCACATGTTCACTAGCCTGAAGTAAACTCACTAATATCTGGAATGACATACTCATCTTATTTCGCGGAGGGGAAGTAATGAAAACCCATGTTTCGATTCCCAACTTACCCTCTGGTGCGGAGGAGGAGGTGGAGGTGTTGGCGAGCCCAGCAAGTCCTGGTTTTCCATTACATTCCCATAATCTGCCACGCTGCCTTTGAGAGGCAGAGGGGGTGGGACATCGGCCACGTCCACCCCCATCATGCCATTCAGCTCCAAGTCTGGAAAACCGGGATCGATTTAAAATCAGCCCAACTTCCCCATGGAGCCTGACCACTCAGCGGGTGGCTTCATGTTTCCTCCCAGAGAGGCAGGCACTGCAGCAACACTCTATCTGGCAGACACGTTTGTCAACAGAGCAGATGAGGGCAGGGAGGGAGCGAGCACAAAGGGTAGGACTCTCTCCTAATGGCAGTGTTCTAGAAAGAGAATAGCAAGTATCACGTGACAACTAAAATGGGAAGGTAAAGCACGGCATTGAGCCACTGTAGAAGGTGGTGTTGACCCTGGCTTCTTTGATCCCTCCTCGGGCCCCCTGCCTTGGTGGAAGTGAAACAGCTGGGTGCCACAGGACCATCTCTGCAGCTGGGCCTCTGCAATCACCCCTGCAGTTATCACCTGGAAAGATTCGCTAAGCAAAGTCTAACACTGCAACCAGACACCCAACTTCCAATCTCTTTCCACAGGAAAATCCATGATTGCATGAAATGATTTTATTAGCCGTAGCAGTCACTGTGGCTGTGGCTTTAAATAAGCCAAGGGGATGTACAATTGATTTTTAAAGTAAACTGGAAAATATAGCGGTTTTCAAACGGAGGGATAATCACCAAGGCAGGATATTTTCTCAACCCTTGTTGAGACTCTTAAAAACAATTTGTTTTCTTTCATATTAAAAGAGAGAAAAATTGACGTTTTTACTGATGAGTCTCTTTTGGAGTTTTCCCCGAGGATGCATCTGATGAAAAATCCTTTATTAGGAAAATGTCTCCTAGGAAGAACACAGTGTCAGTTTCTGAGAAAGCTCTGCCATGGGACCGAGGGGAGTTAGAAGGCTTCGGTGAGTGACTGTCTTCATGACTGGTGCCGAATTGTTTGTTGTTATTGTGGTAAGATACCCATGACATAAAATTTGCCATTTTAGCCATTTTTTAGGGGACAATTTGGTGGCCTTAATCACATCAACACAGCGGACAACCATCACCATGATGTATTTCTGAAACATTTCCATTGCCCCAAACTGGAAGTCCGTACCCCTTAAGCACTAACTCTCCACTCCTCCCTCCCTCTAGCCCCTGGTACCCTCCTCTCTCTCTCTCAATCTTTCTCTCTCTCTCTTCCTCCCTCCCTTCCTTCTTTCCACATGGAGGTTTGCTCTACTTGTACTTTCTTTTTTTTTTTTTTTTTTGAGATGGAGTCTTGCTCTGTCACCCAGGCTGGAGTGCAGTGGTGTGATCTCAGCTCACTGCAACCTCCTCCTCCCAGGTTCAAGTGATTCTCCTGTCTCAGCCTCCTGAATAGCTGGGATTACAGGCACACGCCACCATGCCCAGCTAATTTTTGTATTTTTAGTAGAGACGGGGTTTTACCATGTTGACTGGCTTGTCTGGAACTCCTGACCTCAGGTGATCTGCCTGCCTCGGCTCCCAAAGTGCTGGGATTACAGGCTTGAGCTACGGCACCTGACCTGTCCTCTTACTTTCTGTGTCTGTGAACTTGCCTTAGATATGTCACTGAGGTGGAGTCACATAAGATTTGTCCCTCTGTGAATGATCTGTGTCACTCGGGATCACGGTGAGTTTCGTCCATACTGTAGCACATGTCAGAACCTCACTCCTTTCTCCAGCTGAGGAATATTCTATTGCATGGACATTTCTTTGGATGTACGTTTTGTTAATCTGGCCATCAGTCGATGGACATTTGGGTTGTGTTCACTTATTGGCTCTTGTGAAAAATACTGCTATGAATATGAAGTATCTGTTTGAGTCCCTGTGTTTAGTTCTCTGCAGTGCAGGTTGAGGAGTAGGACTGCTGGTTCATATTACCGTATGGTTATTCCACGTGGAACTTTGGAGGAACCAGCAATTTGTTTTCTACAGCAGTGATGGTGCCTTATGGTTTTAAATATTAAAATAGACTTTAAACACATTTTTAGAAAAATCATGTAGTAATACTGCAAGGATGTGAGGATGCACCCTCCAGAGACAGACCCAGTGCCCAGAAAGCTCTCGGCCTACTCAATTAAACTCACGCATCCATGCTTGAAGCCAGACTCCCTACCACCTGACAGTCTCCAGAAGCATGATTGCTCCCCTTTAAGCAGGAGGAAAATCAGGTGCAGAGGACAATCTCTCACTGCCTTGCACAACCCTTGCCACAGGGCACAGAGCTCTCCTGCCTTTGACCCCTTCCTGTGCCATAGGAAGGAGAGTAGGCTCCCTGGTTTTGCTGTCACCCTCACCCCCAGCACCTTCTCCCTGCCAAGATTTCTCCTCTCTGCTGGCTCTGAATTTGGTGGTGAAAAGCTGGTTACCACTTAGAGTAGGTTGAGTAGAGTCTTCAAAACGTGGACCTCTTAGGGCCACCCAGAACCTCAGAATGTAACCTTACTTGGACTTAGGGTCTTTGCAGATGTAATAAGCTAAGGATCTCAAGGTGAGATCATCCTGGATTTGCAGTGGACCCTATATCCAATGACTGGTGTCCTTATAAGAGGAGAGGGCACAGAGAAGAAGGCCACGTGAAGACGGGCAGAGAGGGGAGTGGTGTGGCCACAGCCAAGGAAGGCTAGGGACTGCTAGGAGCCACCAGAAGCTGGAGAGAGGCCTGGGACAGGCTCTCCCTTGGAGCCAACAGAGGTAACCAACTTGCCACCTCCTTGATTTCAGAGTTCTGGCCTCCAAAACCTTCAGAGAACAAATTTCTACTGTTTTGAGCCACCAGTTTTGTGGCAACTTCTTGGGTAATTTAAAAATTGGTCAAAACTAGAAAATTAAGCTATGCTCCTTGGCTGTTGTAAACTGCCTGGAGTGCTTCTCCAGTGCACTGTCCTAGACACAGGCAGGCCCACGGCCTCCTGCAGCTGTGTCCTGGAATAGGAAGTGGAGTGGTCCCATGTGTCCCAGTTTCCCTCCCCACGGATCCTGGGACAGACCCTGCACTTTCTGCCCCTCCAGCGCTGGAGACCTTGGCTCTGGGCTTTGGCCTGATGTGCAGAAGTCCAGACTCTACAGTCTGTTCCCAGGAAGCCAGGAGCTTATCCAAACTCCCTCCCTCTGCTGAAAGGGGAGTGAGGAGATGCTTCTAACCTGAGAGCCTTCAGTCAAGGGACGCACAAAGCAACAGCACGATACGTATGAGGGGAGGTTCCACTTACTCGACTGCACACTGAAGCTCAGCTTGGCCCTTGGTGTAACCGGAGGGGGTGTGTGCTGGGAGGACGGTGATGAGGGGGACACCGAGAAGCGCCTTTCACTTCCAATGATGTTGATCACCTGGCTCTTCGGTCTCTGGGGCCGCAGGGGACTTATCTACATTGAAAGGACAGAAAGAGCACAGTTAGGGTGCTGAGTGCGTTTCCACCTACATTCCTATATTGAAGTCCTGACCCCCATTACCTTAGAATATGACATTATCTGGAAATACAGTCTTTGCAAATGATCAAGCTAAGGCATAGCCCTTACGCTGGGCCCGTAGGGGGCCCAGGGGGAGCAAACTCTGGAAAATCTCATGCCCCAGACACTTCCCCGAAACACACATGCTAGGTGTGGCAGAGAGGAAGAGAATACCCAGGCAGGAGGCAGTACCCTGAAATGGCCCATAAGACACCTGGTAATTGCTCCCTCTGCAGCTAAGCTGTTAGAATGGAGCTAGCTACACGCTGATCAGGAGGGAATCCGGGCAAGGGGTTGATTCCTAAGAGGGACGCACGCACAGTAAGTACAGATCTGACCACTACACGACCTTCTCAGGGCGGCGGTAACGCACAATGTTGCTGCCACATCAACTAGCAGCAAGCGAACTAGGCAGGGAAAGGTTCCCCACAGACCTGCGCAGGAACTAGGCAGGGAAAAGGTGGACACTTAAGACACAGTGGGGAAAACAGATAAAGACAGAAGGAGAGGCTCATGACAGAGACGGGAACTTAAAACAGTCATGTATAAAACCGAACACAGAACTTCTGGGGCTGCCTCGGCAGGATCAGCCTGCTCCTCCTCTGGGGTCTACTCTAATTTTATTTCCTTAATAAGCCTACTTAACCTATGTTACTCATTTGTCTATTCTACTAATTGGTCTCTTGGCTAAATTCTTTCTTCCAAGAATCAAGGACCCACACACTTCCCAGTAACAGGTCCTAATCCAATAGGACAGGTGACCTTATTAAACAGTAAAATGTGGACATGGACCTGTGTCCAAATTTGGGAGGGCATAACGTGAAGATGAAAGCAGAGGTCAGGGCGATGGTTCTGTCAGCCAAGAAACGCCAAAGATGGTCAGCAAACCCCCAGACAGGAGGAGAGAGGCATGTGGCAGCTTCTGAAGGAATCGGCCCTGCTGAGCCTCTAGAATTGGCAGACAATGAATTTCTGGGTTAGAGTTGCCCAGCCTGTGGTTACAGCAGACCTCCCACACACGAGGGCCTCACACTGTTGTCCTCACACTGCCCGGGCTGGCCAGCATCTGGATGCAAAATGGCTGAGTATTGTTCCAAGCCACACAAATGACCAGCGAGAACACAGGGCAACCTCCACGCAGTCAAGAACAGAATAAACGGCGGAATTCCCCAGGTGTGCTCATGATGCTTTGGTCTTCCTCGGCATGTACGTAAAAGTCTAGGAACTGGCTGAAGGGTTTTTGCTCTTCCTTTCCTTTGCTTCTTCTCATTCCCTAGGTCATTACTGGCAGGGATGCTTTTCTCCGTTTCACTGCATGTTTTCCTGCCCATCTCTGGCTTTTGGAGGCACCTGACTTTCTCCACCTAAGCCCTTTCCCTGTTTGTTCCATCAGTAAGTTGTATTTAGATATTTCTTACAGGGTGGTCTCAGATCATTAGGCTTTGGGGAACAGGAGCAGCTACAAAACACTCTGAGGCAGGAGTAGTTAGAAAATATATTAACCCAGCTGAAAAGGAGGGGTCGAGATTCTCCCCACAGGAAGGGCAGGCAGGTGAGTGGGCAGCTCCAGGCTGGGTGCTGCGGCTGGGTCTGGGGGCCTGGCGGATGGGCTGTGCTGGTTTGGGTGAGCAACAGAGCAGGTAGGCTGCAACGTCTGTCCTGGGAGGAATCAGCGGAGCCAGGGCCAGTCTGGAGGTTACTGAGGCTGGAAGGAAGAAAGGGGAACCAGGCTTGGGAGGAAGGTTCAGGCCCTCTGCTAAATGAGTGACAGAGCCAGGCCAACAGGTCTATTTCCAGAACTATCCTGTGCTGATGGGGGAGCCCAGCACCCAGGAGCTGCACCTCCTCTGTAGAAATGGCCTTGTTCCAGGCAGCAGAACTGCCACGGGAAGTCAGGAAAGGCCGGGTGACGTGCTGGGCCCACTGAGGGCGAAAGCGCTGGCAGGAGAGATTTCGGGTCTGCTAAGGTGCTTCTCTGGCTTCTCTGCATCCCAGGGCAGGCACATTCTGATTCAGAGAGCGTCAAGATGCAAATTGCAGCCTGGAGGCTCTGGCTGGAGAGGCTCAGCTAAAGGTCAGAAAATTGTTGATGATGCAAATCAAGTAGGAAACAGAACCCAGCCCCAGGGGTGACGAGGCAAAACCTTTGCAGAAGCTGGGTACAGGGGAGGCCAGCATGGGGGAGGGGCAAGGAGGATACTGCAGGGGGATAGGGGCGTGGCTGGTGTCCCCAGGTAATGGGTTGCTGCTTCTGCTCCAGTGAACCTCCTCCCTACCTCTCCTGCTGTGCATGGCTGGTCACAGGCGTGTAGCCGCCTGCTAGGAAACTGTAGGTATCTGACTGTCCTCAGAGACTTTGCCGACACCTGTACCCTGGAGGAGGTGGCCTCTGCGCAGACAGACAGTTGCTGGGCTGGACCAAGAACAGTAAGTCTGTCCCCAGCGGGAGGCCCAGATTCCTCGCCTCCTGGTCCTGGAAGGCTTCTGCTGACGCTGGGCCGGATGCTGAGAAGCACTGCCAGGGTTCTGTGCTCCGACCTTGGTGATTTGCTGAGTGTACTAGGGCCAACCGTGGGGAGGCGGCCCTCATGGTGCTTCCGCTAGCCCTGCTGTTTGCAAGGATCCTAGAAGGATGCTTGGGCCTCTAGGGGCAGGGACAGAAAATGCACTGTGTTGGCTCTGTGCCTGTCATGTGTGCGCATGTGTCCTTGGACTTCTTTTTACACAAGCCAGCTGTGATCAATTCTGCCACTTGGCACAACTTCTCCGAGGCCCTCCAATGTAGTGTCTTAAAACAGAGCTTAAATTAAAATGCCTGAAAGACTGGCACAGTGTCTGGCACTAAGTCATCTTCAGAAATGCTTCTTTTCATTCGCCTACCCAGTTGTGATGTTTTGAGACTTGAGAAGTCTACCTGGGGCTTGAGAGAAGGAGACTTCAACCAGCCCCTGGGGTGCTGGGCACCCCAACTTCCTAGAATAGCAGACAGAGCATGCTGTGTTGTCAGGAACCCCTCAGCCTGCTGGAGGCTGAATGTCTGGGTGCTTCAGGCCAGCCTCCAGCCGGTGCCACCCTGGGCCTGACATGCTCAGCCACCCTCACAGGAATCCTCCAGCCCAGCTGCAGTCACAGCACCTACCCAGAGTCTGCAGAGGAGCACTGGCCTGCTGGACATCAAGTCCTGACTGGGGCGTCTGCCTTCTGAGTGGCATGCAGTCTACATAAAACGTACCTTCTGTTTTTCAAGCTATAAACAAGCAGTGCAGTAAGTCTAAGCCTCTAATCACAGCCCGCCGACCGCCCAGGGCTGAGACAAGCAAACACCCACCGGTTTCCAGATGGGAGCTCCAGTCCTGACTTCGCCTTTGGCGCCGACAGCCCATGAGAACCCTTTACGTTTCCAGCTACAGAGAGCACTTTCTGTATCAAGCTCTTCCTGGAAGTGGGCTGTGCCTCATCTTTGCACTCAGACTCTGATACAGCTCGGATTATCTGTCCCCTCCAAATCTCAAGTTGAAATGCTGGGGGTGTGGCCAGGGGGAGGTGTCTGGGTCATGGGAGCAGGTCTCTCACCAAGGGCTTAGTAATGTCCTTGCAGTACTGGGGGTGATGGGTGGGTTCTCGTTCTATCAGTTCATGTGAGATGCAGTTATTTACAAGAGCCCGAAACTCCCCATTCTATAGCCCATGCTCTCTTTCTCACCATGTGATACGCTCCCCTACCCTGCCTTCAGCCAAGAATGAAAGCTTCCTGGAGCCTCCCCAGAAGCCAAGGAGATGCCAGTGCCATGCTCCCACAGCCTGCAGAACCATGGGCCAAATCAAACTCTTTTCTTTATAAATGACGCAGGCTCAGCTACTGCTTCATAGTAACATAAAGCAGACTAACACAGACTCCCAATGTGGGGCACTTCTGGGAGGATCAGCCCTCAGGCCCAGCCCCAGGAAGAGAACCAGCTCCTCTGGTTTCACGGCCCTCACACGCCCACAACTGAGGAATGAATGAGACTCACTGGGACCTGTGTTTAAGGTCAGCTCTGCAGCACATGCCACATGAAGACCCTGTATGTGCTTCTGAAAGATGGCCAGGAGACTGAAACATGGAGCAGATGAGACACAGCAGGATACCTCAGGACCAGATCCAGCTGCTGGGGCCCAGAGCGAAGAGGTCTTTGGATTCTAGCTGAGCTGATTTTAACACTTGGGCCATAACTAGCTTGAGTTCCAGTCAGCAAGGGGTGAGGGGAAGCCATTAGCTGACATGGAAGACTGTTTCCTGATAGCAAAAGCCCCCCTGCTCGCTCATCTTCCGGGATATCAGGACATGGATGGGAAACAAGTCCAAAAGAGCAGTGGAGCCTAGACATGCGTGGGCCCTGCTGGCCCTGCCCCAGGCCCAGGCCCAGGAAGGGGGACGAATGCTAAGCCCAGCCTCTTCTGGGCCTCTCTGTGGCTCTTGCTGTCCTACTGCCTGGGGTCATCTGAGGCTAGGGGAGGAGAATGCCAGGTTTTTGAGTTGCAATTTTACAACAAGTTCAATAAAAGCCTGCTGGCAGCCATGTTGGCTACAGGTGGGGCAAAGGTTGGTCCCTGAGGCTGCCGCAGAGCGAGGGAAGATGCTCTGTCAGGTTACCGTTTCTGAAAGGATCACAGCCTCAGACTGCTGCAGGGAAATGTCGGTGGGTTTAAATTCTTTCTCAAAGATCTCTTGATGTTTGCTGTTCCTTTTTTCCTTTTTCTTGTCCTTCCTCTCCTTTTCCAGGTCATCCTTGTCCAGCTTATCCTGGGACCTGGAGTGCATTTTCTTTGGTAGCAGAGGCTCCAGAGCAAACCTAAAGGAAAGGTCAATGACATCTTAATAAGAGAGCGATTGCTTTCCACCCCGCAGGCGCCCATCGAGTCAGTCGCAATCCATCCAAGATGGTTATAGGGAAAGCAATGATTTCAAAGGGAGGCTGAGGGCGACTTCAGATACATAGTCACCAGAGGCAAGGACTGTGTTTCAATCCCAACACAGACAAACTGGAAAAAGACAGAGAACTCTTAGCATGATAGGGCAAATGTGAAGTCTGGCTAGATGTTTGATGATGATATTAAGGAACTGTTTATTTACGATGGAAGGATGGCATTTAGGGTATATTTCAAAAGGGGAACCCACATCTTTTAGAGATTTATATTCAAATATGCTGTCTATTTTTTAATGGGGAAAGATAGATGCCAATGCAAAGAAATGTCTGCTAGCTTAATTCTGACTAAGTCTCTGTGATTACAGATACATGGTTGTTTCCAGGTGGAAGCACTTTGTATAGCTCGGTCAGAAGCCCGGCCCAGCTCACAGGTGCTGGGACTCACAGGTGCTGGGACTCACAGGTGCTGGGACTCACAGGTGCTGGGAGATGCCCTGAGGTTTCCAGCCAGCAACTGAGTTGGAGACAGAAGACCTGCATGCTAGCTCTGCCACCTGCAAGTGACTCTCGATGTCCTCGTAACCTCTGCCTCATTTATAAAAGGATATAGACACCACCACCCTTCTGCCTACCCCACAGTTGCTGTAAAAACACATTCGTGGCTACACGATGGAGTAAATGAATCTTGGGCTAGTTTCTAAGGCATGTACCAAAAGGTTAGTGTGCACACACACCCATACACGATTGCGATTTGTCGCTCCAACACAAGATTGGCATGCCCATCCTGTTTCTGGTCCTAGGAAGTCCTATTAGGAGGCAGAAGAAAGGACTGGAGTCTCATCCCTAGCAACTCCTGCTGTGAGGAGGAGTCAGGAGAGACAGCTGAATGAATGAAGCCATGGGCACACCTGAAAAACCTTACAGCATAACTCACAACGTTATATGAGAAGGCAGTGCTGTCTCTGAGCCCTCACGGCAACTTCTAAACCTGACTTCCTGAACTGCCTGGAGAAGAAATTGCCTTCTTTAAGGGGAGCATGGTTTCAAGAGAAGACAATGTCGCCAGCCAGCCATATTTTCATCCTAGCTCTGGTTTCTCTTTCATGTATTTCTGAATGGGACACTTGGAAGAAAACCACTGTTCTCATGAAGAAGGCCATTACGGGGCTGGGTGCAGTGGCTCAGGCCTATAATCCCAGCACTTGGGGAGGCCTAGGCGGGTGGATCACTTGAGCTCAGGAGTTAGAGACCAGCCTGGCCAATGTAGCAAGGCCCTGTCTCTACAAAAGGCACAAAAATTAGCTGGGCATGGTGATGCACACCTGTAGTCCCAGCTACTCAGGAGGCTGAGGTGGCATAATGGCTTGAGCCTGGGAAGTGGAGACTGCAGTGAGCTGAGACTGTGCCACTGCACTCCAGCCTGGGTGATGGAGCCAGATCCTGTCTCAAAAAAAAAAAAAAAAAAGGCAGCCATTGCAGCAATCTTGCTCCCCACTGATTTGCTCAGTGCTGACTTCCATGTTGCATGTCCCACAGTGGGGAGTAAGATAAACCAGGAAGGGAAGGATCATTCACAAAACTGTGCTTACACCCTCTGAAGATGCAGACTGCCCAGAGCAAGAACCACCACCTACTTTTGCTTCTCCCATCTAATGTGGCTGTAGGATCTACTACGAAGGTACCTGCACTATGTCAACTGCAATGGTGCTGAATCTAAGCACTGATTATCAATAGCTGTTAACATCTCCCTAAGGGAGAGAACAGGATGTGGTGTACCTCTGAGTGGAAGAACATACAAGTATCTATGAAGTCATCTTATCCCTCAACCAAATCTGAATCTGACCAAATCACTAGGTTCAACTGCCAGTATGTAGGGAATATGGAGACTCAAGACACGAATTAAACAATGCGATGGGGCATGCTATCAGCAAAGTCTTCATGGTGGGGCCATGACAGGATACACAACCGGGGATTGTCCACAATTAAATTACAAGGGAAGAAAGGGAATTAAAAGAGACTTGAGAATATCAACCAACCAAGCGCAAGGTGCCAGGTGGGAACCTTATTTGGATTTTGCCTCAAACAAACTAAACAAAAAGACATTCATGATAATGGGAAATCAACGCTAATATATTATTATAATATGGAATTCCTGTCAATATTTTTGGTGTGAAATAAACTATGTTACTATAAAGTTTATATACTACAACTTAGTTCTGGTTTTTAAAAAGAGTTCACACCTTTTAGAAATTTGTATTGAAATATCTAGATAAAATGGTATGATAATTTAAGATTTGCTGGAAAATGTGATTGACATAGATTGAAAAAAAAAAGGCTAGTTAAAAGCTGATAATTGTCAACACTGGCTGATGGGGCTGAAATTTTCCTTTTTTTCTGAGACAGAGTCTCACTCTGTTGCCCAGGCTGGAGTGCAGTGGTGCCATCATGGCTCACTACAGCCGCAACCTCCGCAGGCTCAGGTGATCCTCCCACCTCAGCTTTCCAAGTAGCTGAGACTACAGGCATGCAGCACCACACCCAGCTAATTTTTATATTTTTTGTAGAGATGGGGTTTTGTTACCAGGCTTGTCTTGTCCAGGCTTGTCTTGAACTCAAGAGCTCAAGCAATCCACCTGCCTCAGCCTCCCAAAGTGCTGAGATGTTAGGCATGAGCCACTGTACTCAGCTTTGAAATTTTTCTATAATAAAATGCTTAAAAATTAAAAATGATTGATAAAATATACCAGTATTGACTTAGATCATTAAGGCATTTTGGGACATCTGGACTTTTCTCACTGGATATACAATAAATCCATATCCATTAGGGGTTAAATGTTTTATCTATTACAAGCAAGAACCAAACATTTCATGATTTTATTCTAGTTTAGCAGAACTTGAGATAATTAATATAGGCAAGAAAAGGATCAGTAGATGCTCTTTAGCTCGAGAAGAAGAACTAGGCTGTGAAATCCTGATGGTCAGACAAAGAACCCAGAGAAAGGCAGGTGGAGTTTTAAATCTTCACATTATGAGAAGCAACTGCCTCCAAGATTAACTTTATTCTACATGTAATCTGTGCCATTTGAGACCAAAGCCTCATTTTCTCCACATCAGTTAGACAGAAAAGGCTGGTAACCCCAAGAATGAACACAACTCTGGACCGTAATAAAGATGCTTCCAGTTAAAGGTGAAACAAATGCCTTCTGGGGAAGAGCCAGCAGCCCAAGCTCACGTGTGCAATTCACCACTCTTCTATGTCAAACCTCTCCATCAATTTCCACCCTAACCCCTATGTTCCTAGAAATATAAAAGCCTTCCCATAACCAGCCTGGGGATTTTTTCTCGGGGAGAAGTTGAATTAAAAATCTTTAGCAATCTTGCTGTAAGTGACAAGCACACATGATTTAAATACCTTTAAATTGAGAATTTCCATATGGACTTGGCCTTATAAATATCAGACGCTGATAAAAATTACTGTTAAGAATAAGCGTGGGGATAGTTTGCAATCATCCATCGGGCACATCAGTCATTGGCAACGAAGGGCAGTCAGAGTTGAGCCGTCCCTTGGGGCCCTCTGGAAGTTTGTGTCTGTGTGTTGAAGGGGCCAGATCCCTGTGGGTGTCTTAGGGTCATGGATTGTAAACCAAATGGGATGGGACATACAAACAACTGTGCAATTCGGCAGTAAAACAATCAGAGCTTCTTCTGTGTTGTTTAAATTGCATGCAACATTTTTTTCTTTTTGTATAAGAACGAACTTCACATGCTTGCCACTCAAAAATCCAAAAAAAAAAAAAAAAAACAAACCAATACTGAGGTTCTGTTTGCAATACTTTGAGCTAATGCAAGAGCCACAGTGTGTGCTCAGTACTGGGTACTCGAGAGCAAAAATGCATCTCCAAAGTGGCCTTGTAGAAAGAAAGTGGCCCATGGGTACTTCAAATAGTCTAAATCACAGTGATGGAAAGTGGACACTGGCCGGGCGCGGTGGCTCATGCCTGTAATCCCAGCACTTTGGGAGGCTGAGGTGGGCAGATCACAAGGTCAGGAGACTGAGACCATCCTGACTAACATGGTGAAACCCCATCTCTGCTAAAAATACAAAAAATTAGCCAGGTGTGGTGGCATGCACCTGTAGTTCCAGCTACTTGGGAGGCTGAGGCAGAAGAATCACTTGAACTCGGGAGGTGGAGGTTGCATGAGCTGAGATCGCGCCACTGCACTCCAGCCTGGGTGACAGAGCGAGACTGTCTCAAAAAGAAAAGAAAAGAAAAGAAAGTGGACATTGTAAGGGGCACAGGGAGAGGAGAATGGGAAGTGAGTGTTTAATTAGTAAGGGAAGGTAGAGTGGGGAATTCTTGTTAAATGACTATAGAGTTTCAGTTTGGCAAGTTTAAAGAGTTCTGGAGATGGATGGTGGGATGACTGCACAGCAGTGTGAATGCACTCAATGCCACTGAACTGTGTACTTAAAAATCATTACGATCACTTGAGCTTGGGAAGTGGAGGCTGTAGTGAGCTGTGATGGTACCACTGCACTCCAGCCTGGGTGGCAGAGTGAGAGTCTGCCTCAGAAACAACAGTGTTTTAAAAAAGGATAATATGCCTTATAGTTTTCCGAGTTGTCCTAAAAAGTAGGGACAGATGGTCATTCTCAGAAGCAGTCACTTAATCACCATTTCCCTTTAAAAGGCAATAAACCTCACCAGAAACAAAAATAAACACAAAATTTGCTCTCCAAAAAAATGAGGAAGGGAGGAAAAGAGAAAACAATGTGGCCCAGTCGTCCATCATGAAAGCCTGACTTGGTGACAGCTGGCTTAGCAGAATGGTGTCACAGGTGGACAGTGGAGGCTGTGTCATGCCCAGACCCACCAGCTCCTGCCCAGGCACGATGCCCTGGAGGTGAACAGGAGGTGAAAAGTACAAAGTGCTTGGCCAGCAGAGAAGGCACCCTGCTTCTTCCCAGGGGTGTCCAACCTTTTGGCTTCCCTGAGCCACATTAGAAGAAGAATTAGGTCGGGCATGGTGGCTCATGCTTGTAATCCTAGCACTTTGGGAGGCTGAGGTGAGTGGATCACATGGTCAGGAGTTGGAGACCAGCCTGGCCAACACAGTGAAACCCCATCTCTATGAAAAATACAAACATTAGCCAGGCATGGTGGCATGTGCCTGTAATCCCAGCTACTCAGGAGGTTGAGGCAGGAGAATTGCTTCAACCCAGGAGGGAGAGGTTGCGGTGAGCCGAGATCATGCCACTGCACTCCAGCCTGGGTGATGAAAATAAGATTCCATCTCAAAAAAAAGAACAACAAGAAGAACTGTCTTGGGCCACGCATAAAGTACATTAACACTAACGAGAGCTGATGAGTTATGTAAAAAAGAAATCACAAAAATAATCTCAGAATGTTTGATGGGACTTTACGGATTGGTGTTGGGCCGCATTCAAAGCCATCCTGGGCTACATGTGGCCCGCAGACCGCGGGTTGGACAAGCTTGTTCTAAGCCATGATGAAGAGGACTGAACACTCACTGGAGGTTCTAAAATTGGACAAAAACATTCCCCAAAGTGGAACCCAAAGAGAGGATGTTTTTCTCAAAAACTCACAAGACCTCAAAGTAATATTGGGCACAATGGTTAGAAAGTCTCCGAGGGTCTCAGTTTCAAAGATAATTTTGATGAACACAAAATCCTCAGTTGTAAGAAAATAAACCCAGGGCTCTGGGGGGCTTCTTCCAGATCCCCGAAGACCTCGCTGCTCAGCCCAGCCCTGCTGTGAGCTTGACTCACCCGTCGGAGCCTGGCCTGGAAGGGGTGCTGTCGGATGAGAGGGAAGAGACAGAGGCCACGGACAGAGGCCGGGATGAGGAAGGCATCGTGAAGGACCGCACCATGGACCGGGGGCGGCTGCCTCTTCTATCGTCCAGACTTGAGGGCTGAGTGAGAAAGAGAGAGAGAGAGAAGGAGACTTGTTTGATGCCTGTGCCTGCCATGGCCAGTCTCCTGAGACAGAGCGGTCTTAGCAGCATGGGATCTAGACCACCGTCCTCCAGACTTCTATAAACAGTGCCTGTTCTTGTTCTGAGTGGAAGACAAAAACAATGATTATTTTGGAGTCTTTTCAAACCTTACCCAATACTGTGAAAGTATCAGAAAGAACCTTCTTAGTCTTTTAATACTTAATGCAGTTTTCTCTACAAAGACCACAACGCATCAACACATTCCAAAGTCACAGCAGAAAATGTGCAGACCAGAAAATGTAGAGTAATGCCTAGAAAGTGTTTAAAGAGTCTTTAGATCCTTATGTGAATTGTGTACGTCTCCGCGTGCCGACAGCCTATACAGATCCTCAAAATGCATGACTCCGTACTGACTGACCTCCTCTAGATAAAAGTAAGGTGCACTTGCTGCTTAATTACAGGTAAGTTTCTGCAAGTGACTGACGCAATGGAGTAGATGAAATCACAGCCGAAGTTGCTACAGCTTCTCCCACTTGCTAGGTAGTGAAGTAGTGACGCCTTGTGCCCCAACACCAAAAATAAAGATCTCTAGATGGACTTTTCCATCTTCTTGACATATTACTGAAACAAGTGTCCTTGAAATACAGCATGTGTCAACATCTAATTAGCTAGAAAGCTCTAGTGTACCTGCACCCCGAGCCAGATGCTGGCACATCTGGGACTGCAGCTGCCACACAAGCACTTTCCTTTAACCTGAGGATGTGGAAACTAAATTCCTGTAGGGCACTTCCTCCCTGTGTGGCGCTGACCTCCCCACCATGCAATCCCCCTGCCCATTCAGCCAATCAACTACACAAGACCCCTGTGGACCGTGGTTCCAGCCCTCCGAGGCAAGAAGCGGTAGATTACGGGTAATGTTACTGTAACACCACTTCCTCATCTGAAAAGTAGGCCTTTTTCTTAACTACGTGATCCCAAATAAAACAACATTTGATGTGTAAATGATCTCTTTAATAATAAAAAGTTCAAAATTGTAAAAGGGCAGGAGTTGGTACACATTATCTGTAACGCAGTGGTCTGCAACCTTTTTGGCACCAGGGTTTCATGGAGGACAGTTTTTCCACAGACCGGCAGGGGATGGTTTCAGGATGAAACTGTTCCACCTCAGATCATCAGGCATTCGCTTCGCATAAGGAGCATGCCACCTAGATCCCTCACATGCACAGTTCACAATAGTGTTCGTGCTCTCATTAGAATCTAGTGCCACTGCTGATCTGACAGGAGGCGGAGCTCAGGCAGTAATGTTCTCGCCTCCTGCTGTGGAGTCCAGTTCCTAACAGGCCACAGGCTGGTACTAGTCCACTGCCTGGAGGCTGGGTCCCCCTGCTGCAAAGGACCAGGTAAGTATTTTAGGCTTGCAGGACATATGGTCTCTGTGAAAACTATCGCACTCTGCCACGACAGCACAAAAGCAGCCACAGACAACACAGAAATGAGTGAGCATGGTCGCCTGCCAATAAGACTTTATTTACAACACGAGACTTGGGGCCACAGTTTGCTGACCACTGGGTCTGAACAACATGCAGCTGGGATTTGCCAGCAGAGAAGAGCTGGTCAGTCTTGGACTTGCACCAACAATGGTGCCAGGGGATAGCTCCATGGAGATGTCCATTATAATTATTCTGCCTTTAGATGAAACTAGAAGGAATATGTGTGGGAAGTAGAAAAGCTCCTTTCTAAGGTTTCCTTTTTTGTTAAAGAATAAATGTGCTAATAACTTTGTTAAGCCCTCCCTATCCTATGTAGCTGTTAGACATGCCATGCTTATAGGCACAGAGTACATTCTATGTCCTTGTACTTTAACCAAGATATCTGTGCTGGACGTGCTCACAGGCATGTCTCAGCTCTCTGTTGCTTTTACCTGTTTAGAAGTTTAAGTTACTAGTGAGTCAGGTTTTAGTTTAGACTGTGAGGTCTGGCTCCAGCCAATGGAGATCAGACACAGCAGTAAGGATGACCCCCAAATGCTTAAGGAATACATTTATCTGTCTTCCTTTATTCATTGTACTCCTGTGGCAAGATTCCTGGCGAGAGTCCCCTTCCTGCAGTCCAGGAAGTAAAAACTGCGTTGCTGAAAGATCCTTTGTCTCAGTGCTGATTTTTCTTTGTGGCACCGGGCACCTATTTTCATCTATTTCCAACAAAATCGTTACTTAGGGATTATCCCCAATTGTGAAAACCTTACCCTATAAATAATCTAGAGACTCAAGTCTACATAATATCCTCTTCTCAGCCTTCCTGAAACACAGCCAGAGGGCAAGCCAAGGCCTCACTCTCTGGAGTGCTTCTCCCGTACATCCTCTCAGCTGGGTCCTGGGGCCCTGTTTTGTGTCCTCACTATTCCTGAAGATCCTGAGGAAGAATCCTGTTTGCTACTTTAGGTCTACCCTGGCTGCCTCACCTCCCACCGCCAGCACCATCCACCCACCTTGGCCACTGCATCTTCTCTCTGGCATCTAGGAGGGGCTTGAAACCTCCTTACATTTTGAATGGGACGTGCTGATGCTCTCTCTCTTTCAAAATCCACACCATCACTTGCCATTTCTTCCACAGCAGCAGCTTCTTGCAGACAAGCTCAGAGGTGCAAAAGCCAAGGCCATCATCCTGTTTCTGAACCCACCGCTCAGGCCGTCCCACCCACCTATCCCACTGTGGCTCCCTTCCTGCCCCTCCCTGGAAGCGGCTCTGCCTTGACTTCAACACGATCCTTTCTAGCTACAGGTGGAAGGAAGAAGGGAAGAGAGCCAGCATGCTCATACTCAGGGGATTTCCATGGCTTGGAGGATGCAGCCTGTGAGGACATTCCACGGTCTACCAGGCAGGTGGAGAAGCCGCACACATATAGTGGTAAAAAAAAACTTGACCTGTGACATTTGGGTGGGCCCCGAGCACTGGGAGCCCCATTTCAGGATGTCCAGTATGTCGGCTTCCATGTCTCTGTGATAAAAGGATCTTTACAGCAGCCATGAGGACGTGGGCACTGAGTGAGTGGTGCCCGGGAGGGAGCCAGTCAGGGACCAGGGGGTGGAGACCCAGTGAGGACAACCTTATGGCAGCTCCTGGAAGGCCCAGAAAGCAGTCCCTGGTCCCCGACCTCCCACCACCAAGGGCTGGGGATGCCCCTTGGAAGGTGACCTTGAGTCTTGGTCATCTTGGTTGAGATATGTGAGTATGGATTGCAATGGATAAAGGAAGGGGGGTGGCAGGAGGATGGTTCCCACCACGAAGGAACAGAGGCCACTCTTGGGGTCCCACATTTGCAGGGTGCTCCATGGGTGTGACTGTCCCTGGGTACAAGGGTGGCTTCCACTGAGCAGCCTGCCTTACAATTCCTTCTTGACTGAGCAAAGTCATCAGAGGTCAGGGCTTTCCTTTTGTTTTCATTTGATTCAATTAGAGTCTCACCCAGTTCTGAGAGGTGTGACTCCAGGGCCAGACACTGTGAGAAGGACTGGTGGGTAGGAGTTGGGGATACTAGAACTAGGCTAGAATTAAGGCCCTGGCCCCAGTGGTGTGACCTTCCATAAAACCCAGAGCCATTCAGAGCCTCAGCTTCCTCCTGAGCATAAAGGGAGTAGTCCTCCCTGCCCAGAAGGCCAGTGTCAGGATTAAATGAAATGATACCAGGGACGCCCACAGGGCTCATGACCCTGATGGCTGCTGCCGTCCTCACTGCCTGAGCAAACACTCATTCCAGTTCCCTTACCAAGAGCGACCCTCTAGCCCTGCCCAATGACCCTGAGTTTTATGTCGCTGTCTCCCAGCTGAGCAGTAACATCCCACCTTGAGCCAGCCACAGGCGCTTACTGCCCATGGTCTTGGATAGGAATGGGCTGGGATGGGTGGATTGGTCGAACTTAATCACAGGGACTGGTGCTGTACCAGGACGGGAGTGGAGAGTGAGAAGCAGGCACACTTCATCATGATCTGGACTGTCCCTTTCCAAATGCTACGCAAATGCCAACTACAGCCTGGAAACTCACAGAGGGTGACATATTGTCCCTTGCAGAGGGCAGGTAGGGGAGAAGGGGCTGGGTGGGGACAGGAGATGGGCAGGCCCAGCAGGGAGGGTGCAAGTGTGGCCTGGGAACCTTGGTCACCACTCAGAGGCCACAAGACTGAAGGACACAGCTGCATGACCAGCTCTGCATCTGAAACAGAGCCCTGGCCCCTGGCTGTTCCTGTAGGCCATGTCACACTGCTTCTCCTCCCCAGGGACTCCAGCACATGGAACAGGTGATGCTTAATGCTCCTGCTGAGGAGGGGTTATCAGCTCCACCTCCCCATCAACACCCCTCCCATGGATCCCAGTTAAGAGAACCAGTGGGATGGGTCCCTTGGCAACTGTGGAAGCAGGGTGGGAGAGAGAAATCCTGGAAGCTAGGGGAGCAGGTCAGGGGCCAGTTGTGATGGCAAAGATGGTGGGGTGAATCCCAGCACCACCAGGGGATACCATGGCTAGAACTAGCTTGAGGAGGAAGGGTGACTCCTGGGTCTCTTCTGGGTCTAGGTGGCCAGTGGGTGATTATGACAGTAGCTGGGGAAGCGAGAAGGGGATGATGGCATGTTGGGCTTATGGCTCTCCATGGTGGTTGGAGTGATGAGGAGGACGGGAGTGGAGAGAGTGCAGAACCAGGAACAGTTTTCCTGCTCCTAACCGGACTTGAAAAGGTAGATGAACATTTGGTGAGAAACTTAAAGCTCTTTTTCACAAGCCTGAAGGCCAACACACATGCCTCCTGCACAGTGTGGGCCAGTGAAGGCACAGGGGTGAATGCTGAATGTGGCAGGTGCTCACGGGCTCATCCGCAGGGTCCTGGAGAAGCTGAGCTGCTGAGCTGTCATCTAGGTAATGGCAGCTCCTGGGAGCCCCAGGACTGGAAAGATGAAAGCCAAGGTGGAGTGGCAGAGGGGCCTGGGTATTCAGAAGTCAGAGGGCGTCCACATCTTCTCTTTCTATGGCTTAAGCTGGCTCAGAAAAATTGACAAAATGGTTTATGTCCTTTCTATGCATTTAAAAAAAATTTTTTAAAGCCATCTTTTTGCAAACCAGGTGACACTAGATTGCTTTTCAAAGTATTGTGAGATGCTTATACGTTTCTAAAGTAGATAAGATGGGAAAGGCATATTCTAGATTGCTTTTTATTGCCACATTTCTCAGGGAAGGACAGGAGGACCTGCCAGTCCCCTTGCCTGCTCAAAGGATGCTTGCAGAGCCTGCTGTTGGGGTCGAAGGATGGAGCAGGACTCTGCAAGGCAGGTCTGGGGAACAAAGTATCCCAGGGTGGAAAATGCAACCTTCATTCTGTTTCTGGATTCCCCTCACACCCTAAGTCTCCCAGTGGGGTGCCCTAGCTGCCGCTACAGAGAAGGGTGGGGAGCTTGGTGGAGATGGTGCTGCCTCATGCTGTGCTGGAAATAAGCTCCAGCCAAAGACACACAGCATCCCAGTGCACACAGCACCTACCTGCCTGCCCTTTCTGTCTCCACCTGTGCCCAAAGCAAGCACGCCCAGAAATCACGAACCATGGCAGAGAAGGGATGTGCAGGATGTCTGGTGAGCTAGACAGCTTTCTGTGATTTTGAAACATACACTAAATGATTGAGAACACAGGGAGCTTTTCACTTAGGAGAAAATGACAAGATTTCACAAGTGTTTGCTTCTTAGAATTAACACCGGCATCAACTTTGAAAGAGATGCCCTGTGACGCACTCTGAAATGCTTCTTGCCACTCAGCTCTGAATGCAATGAGTTGCGGGCTCTGAAGCTATCAAGCACTACTCCAGCATTCTGACTTGCACAAAGGGTCCTCCAGCACAGCTTGGAAGAAGAGCACCCTGATTTCCAAGCCTGTTCACCTGCAGCAGCTCCCACTAGGCTGTGAGCTCCAGGCTCCCACCTGCTGAGTTTTCAACCTCAGAGTAGCAGCTGTGTTATGCTGGCTTTGTTGGGTTCAAGCCCTGCTGGGCCTGGGACCCCCTCACATGATGGACACCAGGCCCTGGGCTTGGAGGCACTGAGGTTCAGCCATGCCTGGCCGAGGTGGGCAGACTGGGAAAGCCTGCAGTCTGATCAAAACCAAATTACCTTCTCTTAGCAGGTCTCATATGCACTTCCTACCATGTGGGCAAGAGGCAGAGCAGCTCTGTGGTGCCAAATGTTAGCTCCTGGAGTAGGGGCTGAAAGCACAGACTCTGGGTCTGCCATGTGCTAGGGTGTGACCTAGTTACCTTCCCGTGTCCGTTTCCTTCACTATAAAATGGGGGTGACTGCAGTGCCTGCTTCACAGAGCATGAGGCGGATTAAGCAACTGAGTCTCTCTACGGCACTTAGAAAGGTCCCTTGCACCTGGGAAGCACTAAATTTGTGTTTGCTTATTGAGATCAATGTGCGAAAGAAAAGAGCGTTCAATGTAGAGTAGCTGAGAACTTCAGGGACTGGTGGACAGGTGGCCATGGGACAAGAGAAAACCAGAATGGCACACTCCACTCGACACCTGGTCTTGAAGGAGCAGAGAAAAGTGCTGTGTATTATGGGGAGAAGCAGCATGACTTCCCACAGCTCACTTCCTTTTGCAGGGGAGCTGAAGCCCTGTGCACAGCCCCTCAGTGCCAGCAGGCACGGCATTCCAGTAGACAGAAGAGGGCTCCCTACTTCTCTTTACCACATTGCCCTTCATCCCCAAACAATGGGGAGTGGGAACCCTTTGCTGGGCCTAATGTCTCAGAGTCCACCAGCAGGCAGGGCAGGCCCAGCAAAGCTCCCAGAGACTGAGGAAAGATGGGAGCACCACTCGGAACGCACAGCAGGGCAGCACTCTGACTGACTCAGGGCGCCTGGCTTTGCCCCCTCATCTGCCAAGGCACGGCTCCTGGGGATGGTCACAAGTGGGCTATAAGACTTGAAAGGCAAGGCTTTTGCATCATTAAAACTCACAAGCTGCTCTCCACCCTGCTCCTGACGCCAGCCGCTGCTCAGAAACCTTCCATAAACTCATTGCAAAAGCTCTGTTCTGCCCTTGGTCCGGAGTAGAGCCTCCTGCCCCGGCCAGGCATCCCTCGTTCTTGGAGGCTGGGTGCCTTTCCATCTCCACTCTGTTTTCTCTTCTGCCCAAAGCATCACTGGCCCCTGGCCTGTCATTCAAACTCCTGCATCTCAGCCTTTGTTGAGGGAGGCCTTTCCCCAGGCAGTGTTGGCCTGATCTCCTCCCCTGACCATATCTGGCTTACCCTCCTTGGTTTAGATCAATAGGTGAATCTTTGCTGATAAGTTCACACTCCAGATGTTCATCACGTCTCCCCTGGTGGCCAAGAGCCTCCGATTTCAACCTTGGGTGGGGCCATCATGGGGGCTGTTGCCCTGTGGATGACCGAACCCTTTGCGTGTGTTATATGGCTACAGGTGTGCACTGTCAACCAGCCAAGCCACCTGGGCCGCTGTGAGATTTCTCCATTGCTCTGTAACAATAAGGCTGGACTGTGTTCACAGCAGGTAGGGGGCATTTGGCAATCAAGGAAACTCATGAATGTTTATTCACCCTGGCATTTCCAACCTCCTTATTGAAAGAGAAGTTGCTGGGTTGCTGGTAGACAGACTGCCCAAGGGGGCTGAGCCCCCTCACATCCCACTTCCTAAGCAGGCGCCGTGCGCACACGTGAGTTCCTCTGCTCTGGGAGCCTGTCCCAGTTCGACGGTGGGATGCCCAGACAGCCGCTCTTCGGCAACACAACCCCCTTACCAGGATTCGGACGCCGTACTGTTTCTCCACTTTCTCCTTCAGCTGCTTGAAACAGGCTTCCATCCTCTCATGGAATGGCCTCAGTGCCTCCGTGACTTTGTCTCCGTGAATTCTTATCCCTTCGGCCAAAAATGGAATCTGAAAAACGTAGAGGTTGACATTCCTTATTTCTTGGATGATGGTCTAGGAAGAGCAACGGCACACCTGGGGAAAGCGGAACTGTGCGAAATGATCCGCTTTTGTTTCCAAATCAAACCAGCTGATTCAATTCACCAGCAGGCACGTTACCCCAAAGACCAAAATGGTTACACGGAAACCATTCGTGCTCTGAACTGATTGCGTCCAGCTCGGTGTGCCCTACACCACGGCTACGCAATTCATTCCCCAGAATAGACTTATCTGTGCTTTTCACTTGAGTTTGGGAAGAGCTGTACCTTGAATTTGTTTAGATCTAACTTCTTCTATTAGCAAAGGGTCATGGCCGAGTGCAAACATTTTTTAGCTAAGAATATTGCCTTTACGAGAACCCTATTCCAAATTCCAAACCTAATTATATGTGATCTATAGTCCTGAAAAATATTCCTTTTTTGGAAGGGAAAACCAAATTCATTCTTCTTTAAAACTAAAAATAATCACTTCTCTACCGACACTGCTGTCACAAAATATCCATGCCAACACTTCACTTCCGAGAGTGGAGATGCAGCTGACCTTTAAAAACGTTATAAGAGAGACATTTTCATTCTCCCAGCTGCAGAGACCCACCGGAGTTGCTGCTGTTGGGGGTGGGAAAAGGAAAAGTCTCCCCTTCTGTCCCTGGTCTCTGCTTCCCCCCAGGGGCTTGGACTCAGTTAGACATCCTTCCATGTAATCAAGCTAAGAGGCTTCCTCTCAATAATTTATAATTAAATCAAAATACTGATTAAAAACAGATTTTCCTAATAGGACAGAACACCAATCTAAATGAGCAGATTTATTGGTATGAACGATAATAAGTACACAATTGAATTTCATGTGAGCAAATTCAAGAAATCTTATCAAGATGAATCAACGCATCAAATGTATTTGGTTGCCATTTATAGCACGCAGCTGTTGCCTCTCTTGGTGCTCCAGGAAAGGAGGGAGTAGTAGTGCTCTCCCGCGTTCTCAGCCCTCCTAGCCTGCTTGGAGCCTGCGCCGACATAAATGTTTGTTTTGCTGACAGTTGGGCCCAAACCCAAGGCACGCGTCAGTTTACCCCTTTCTGGTCAGTCATTGCTGAAAGGACAGCATGCAGGTGAGATTTCAAAATACATGGGATTTTTTAAATATCCCTATGAATTGCTTGTGCAGATGGCAGCTTCCCCAGGGCTAGCTGCAGTTTACTCAGGGCCAGCGGTAGAAAATGCTCACTGTCAGCCTTCTGCTTCCTGAGTCCCGTCTTGGGGATGACGCACGCCGACTGGGACAAGTTTTGGCGGGATGTCGAAAGTGTTGTGTCTCTCTCTGGCTTGCCCTTTGCAAGGATGTGTAGAGTCCCTGTCACAAGGTGAAAGCACAGCCGCCCTACATACCAAAAGCATTTCTGATGTAGGATGGGCCTTTCTCAAACTACAAAATGTAATCTAGTTTCTGAGTTTTGTTGTTGGTGATGTTGATGGTGCTGTGATAAAACTCCTGATTGGTCAGATTCTTTCTATCAAGGAAGCTACTTGCCAGGTGAGAGTTAAGACCATTTGGCTTAGGTCAATGATGCTGCTTGAACTGCAATTTGAGAGGTGAAATTTAAAAGGTGTGAGAATTCATCACTCTCAACAGTTCCTGACATTGACTGGAAATAACCTTGTTATAGGATGGGATCGGTCTCTTGTTATACGTCTCCTACGGGCTGAACTGCAGGTGTGATTCTAAATGAAAGAAGATAAGAAGATGCCCTGAGTAAACACATTCCAGCGCTCAAGGCACTTAATACACAAATAGACCGAGGCTCCGAAGTGGTCTCTGGGACCTTTTTTTTTGAGATGTAGTTTCGCTCTTGTTACCCAGGCTGGAGTGCAATGGCGCAATCTTGGCTCACCACAACCTCTGCCTCTGGGTTCAGGCGATTCTCCTGCCTCAGCCTCCTGAGTAGCTGGGATTACAGGCATGTTCCACCATGCCCAGCTAATTTTTTTGTATTTTTAGTAGAGATGGGGTTTCACCATGTTGACCAGGATGGTCCCGATCTCTTGACCTCGTGATCCATCTGCCTCGGCCTCCCAAAGTGCTGGGATTACAGGCGTGAGCCACCGCGCCTGGCCTCTGGGACCCACTCTAGCTCAGTGGGTTCCACTCTAGCTAAGCATCAGAGACTCTCAGGCAAATTCCTGAATCCCAGTTCTGGAGCCCTGATTTGCTATGGGCAGATCTCAGGAATCTGCATTCCTAGAGTTTCTCAGAGCCCAGAGACTGGAGAGGACTATCCCTAAGTCACATCTCTAGTTGATCAAAGCAAGCCTGCAGCCTGCTCCATAAAGGTGCCCTCCTGATGGGCCATATTTGAAGTTTGCTCCTGTCTGTCCCCTGCACAGATTCATGCCCTGAAAGCAGCACAGAGCATTTGGAAGCCCTGCTCAGGGCTCCAGGAGCACCGCCCCTGGACACAACTGTCATGCTTGTCATCAGCTGGGGATGATGGTTGAGTTCAGCCTTTCATCTTTGTACATTTCAAAAGAGAAATATGTACACATCACAGTAGTTTAATATGAGACTGTATGGATTTATCTCTGGATACTCGGCAGGGATGCTCCACAATGACAGCTGTGTATGGGGAAAGATGCAGTGCTGCCTGAGAAAGTGACTCATGACCTGGTGCCAGCTGCCAACCTAGAAGAGGCGCCACGCAGTGTGCACCCTGACTGCAACCTCCCACCCAGCAAGGAGCAGGTCAGCCCATCCTCTGCTTCCGAGTCAGCAAGCAGGGCTGAGGAGGAGCTGCCTGGGACTTATTAACCAACCTTCAGAAACCATTTTAGGTATCAGAGATGTGCTTTTTGTATACTGGTGATGTAAACTCTGCACACGTGTCCTGGGCTCCCAGGAGAAAAACCTCGCTCTGCCCTGATAGAGTTTCAGAAAAAAAATAAACCAAATGAACTAATAAACAAAAAAAGAACAAAGCATTCTGATGAACTCAAACTTCTTATTTTTCATGAACGTATGACTTAGTTGCCAATACCGAGACACAGGTTTTCCAAACATTTGCAAATGAAAGCAAAATCACAGGTAATGTTTTGAATATGCATTTTCATCACTTTGATTTAATGAAGCTACTAGAAAACTGATTCTTTCTTTTAACTTTCCTGTGACCTGCTTTAAAATTCATACTTTAATATAGTTATTAGAAATGATGACATACTGCTGACATAAAGCTGCTCTCTGGGGAACAAATTATTTTCCTCTGTAGGACTTGAAACTCTTAAAATCCAATTTGCTGTAAAAGCTTACAGGAAAAAAAAAAATCAATAGAACTTTTGCAGACCAAACTAGTTTTTGTACAGCAATGGTTTTATAGCCTGCAGAGGAATTTCGAATTTTGTACCCCTTAGTACAAAATCTACAACATCTAAAATGGAGGCACTCAAACTTTTAAACTCTCTTTCACCTTTTTAGTTACTGAGGGAGACTGTCTACATAAGGCTCACATTCCGTGTGAAGAAACCACAGTTGGCCAACGACGTCCCTTTCAGCCACACTCTGAGGACTTTTAAAATTCGAAATGCAGGGCTGGGCACTGTGGCTCACACCTGTAATCCCAGCACTTTGGGAGGCCAAGGCGGGTGGATCACGAGGTCAAGAGATCGAGACCATCTTGGTCAACATGGTGAAACCCCGTCTCTAACTAAAAATACAAAAAATTAGCTGGGCATGGTGGTGCGCGCCTGTAATCCCAGCTACTCAGGAGGCTGAGGCAGGAGAATTGCCTGAACCCAGGAGGCATCGAGGTTGCGGTGAGCCGAGATCGCGCCATTGCACTCCAGCCTGGGTAACAAGAGCAAAACTCCGTCTCAAAAAAAAAAATAATAATAATCAAAATGCAGACAGATTTGTGACAAAGTCTGATTTCTTCCCTTTTAATATAGTTTTTGTTTATATGTGCATATCAAAACTTCTCACTCACTAAAATTATTATTTAAAAGACAAAATAACAGGTCTTGTTGAGGGGTCAAAGAAGGTGGAATCATGCATTACTGCTGGTGGAAATGTAAAATGGTGCTGTGACCATACAGGAGTTTGGCAGTTTTGCAAAAATGAAACAGCGTACCACATGAGCCAGCAATTCTAAATTTGGGTATATACCCCAAACTATGGAAGTATGGAAAGCAGGGACTTGTGCAGGTATTTGTACACCCACGATCATAGCAGTATTACTCACACTAGCCAAAAGGTAGAAGCGACCCACATGATCCTCAACAGATACATGGAGAAACAAGTTGTGGTCTCTCCCTATGATGGAGTATGATTCAGCCTTAAAAAGGAATGAAGTTCTGACACATGCTACAACATGGATGAACCTGGAAGACATTGTGCTGAGAGAAACAAGCCAGACACAGAATCATGTACAAACAGTACATGATTCCACTCATATAAGGTATCTAGAGTAGGCAAATTCATAGAGACACCAAGTAGAATCGTGGTTCCCGGGGCTGAGTGCAGGGAGGAATGGGGAAGTTGGTGGAGCGCTGCAAGATGACAAGGCTCCGGAGATGGGTGGTCGGAGCAGGTCGTACGACAATGTGAATGTACTTACTGCCTCTGAACTGGGCACTTAAACATGGCTGAGATGGGAAATTTTATATGTATTTTATCACAATTATTTATAATATATACATAATATATATTATATTTATATTGCAACATAAGTACTTAGAATTATAAAAATCCAACCTGTCCTATACATCTAAAAACAAATTGAAGAGGACTCATACCTTGGCTCACAACCGAAGCTCAGCCTTGCTCCACTCTGAGACGTCTCGTTGGCCGATGTGCTGATGACAGAGTGGCCACTGAGAAGAGGCCCTGCTGGGGTGCCAGAATTAAAACTCTCACAGAGGCCTGGTGCAGTGGCTCATGCCTGTAATCCCAACACTGTGGGAGGCCAAGATAGGTGGATCACCTGAGGTCAGGAGTTCAAGACCAGCCTGGCCCACATAGCAAAACCCCATCTGTACTACAAATACAAAAAAATTAGCCGGGCATGGAGCTGAACTGTAGTCCCAGCTACTGGAAAGGCTAAGGCAGGGGAATCACTTGAACCCCAGAGGAGGTGCGATACTTTATCTCAAAAACAAACAAAGTGCTCACGGTGATGTCTTGTAAGAGGAACGGCCTTGCCCTGTTTTTGTTTTTTTTGAGATGGAGTTTCACTCATGTTAGCCAGGCTGGAGTGCAATGTTGCTCACTGCAACCTCCACTTCCTGGGTTCAAGCGATTCTTTTGCCTCAGCCTCCCAAATAGCTGGGATTACAGGTGTGCGCCACCATACCCGGCTGATTTTGTATCGTGCCCTGTTCTGGACTAGGGGCAGATCAACTGTACGGCATCTCCGGGCCTCAACTGGGAGCCCGGGACCCCAGCTTAGCAACGTGACCTGGGCTATGACACCTGGCGCAAGCCCAAGCAGGCCTTTGCCCTCACCTCCCTCAACTCACTTTATACAGTGTGGTGAGACGATCTCGGGACAGCACCCTCCTCACCTCTCACATGAGAAAAGGAGGCTTAAGAAGCAGTGGCATAAAGCAGCAGAGCAGGCAGGTGCCGGTCAAGCTCTTGTGAGGACTGGCTCTTGACAACCCCACACTTTCAGGCTCAGGAAGGCTCTGAGAGGTGCAGACGCATCTGCTCGGTCCTGACACTGAACCCAAGGCACCCTCCAGAGTCTGCCCTTTCAAGATGATGGCCCTCTAGGAAAAGCTCCAGAGGCCTCAGGAGCATGAGTACAACAGTGAAATGGCATGCATGATTCCAGCTGGGAAAACACGAAGGAGGACGCGCACCACCGCCAGAGGTGCATGGAGAACCGGGAGAGGATGCACTGCGGCTTCGGACCTACAGGCATTTCACAGGGGCTGCACCGGCCCCAGCGCCTTTCCTGGCACAGGCTAGAGCTCAAGGCTTCATGGCTCTGAGCTCTCCTCGATGTTCTATCAATACAGACAGAGAGTCTTCCAGCAGCCAGCAGAATTGAACAAGGGGAGGAAAGAGACCTTGTTCATTTGCAAGAGATAATTTTCTGGGTGTTCAAATTCATGACTGTAGCCCAGGAGCTGAGTTGATCATGACAGCAGTGGGCGGGTTCACCCAGGGACAATCCCAGTCACGTGCACCATGACTGCAGCCCAGAGGCCTCCATGCTGGCAGGTTGTGTGCTCAGCCTAGGCCCTCCTGGCTTTTCTTCCCTCCAGCCACACAGGGGTCTCGCTGGACACCTTACCTGCCAGGCAATCAGGTCCTTGAGCTTCTCGATCTTTTCACGGGCCTCAGGGTGCTCCTGCAGGTACCGGTCTGTAAAGAATGCCTGGTGGGACAGGGAGAGTTGCTCAGTGCACCTGCTCAGCAACAGGGTTTTACACACTTACTGTGTGCCAGGCCCTGAGAATACAGCTGTGCATAAAACAGACCCACAGGGAGCTCACTCCAGACCCGGGGTCACACTCTCCACAGCACCCAGGACAAAATGTCTCATAAGGCCAAACACGGTAAGTGGAGCTGACAGGCTATCCACAGCAGCAACCCTGGTTCTGGGGGTCCAGGAAGGCCATGGCTGACCTGGTGGCTCAGTCCTGCTGGGTGGCAGTGAACACAGCCCTCCCAGTTACCCACATGCCCATGCCCCCCATCGCCCCTGGCCCCTGCACCTGCAATGCCTGACCTACACCTGAAGGTAAAGAACTTCTTTGTGCAAGCGCGGGTGACCACCCCCTGCAGCCTTCTCTCAGGCAGGGTACCCCCTTTCTGCCTGTTTTTACTCTGTCTAGATCAGGGGTCAACAAGCTTTTTGTGTGAAAGGCCAGACGGTAAACATTTTAGGTTTTGTGGATCATACGGTCTCTGTCACAACTACTCAAGGCCCCAGTTACAGTATCAGGAAAATAGCCTCAGGCGATAAGTAGGTGCACGGGCGTGGCCTTGTTCCAAAAGAACTGCATTTACATACAGGCAGGGGCAGGCCCGTGGTCTAGACTACATCCATGTCCTTCAACTTCTTCCCATTCCCACAGAGCTGGGATCCAGGGAGACTAGCCGGCCAGGGCCCCTCCACCGTCAAAGTGTCAAAGCTCCCTAGTCCTGATACTCTGATGTTTATGCCTAATTTCATCTTTTGGCCTGTAAGATCCCAGACCTTGTAAAAGGCACTGGAGGCCTGGGCGCAGACAAGCCCAACCTGGATAGGTCAGTGGGGGCTTCCTGGCTGTCTGGGGATGCCTGGGGATGCTGGCTGGGGCTCAGGCCTTGACTTTGCTGCAGTCTTCAGGGGCTGCCACTGGCTGCTGCTGCCTGGCCTTGGCTGGGCCAGTGCTGAGACTGCTCAGTCCCTGAGACCAGGGCCGTTTCTTGGCTTTGGCGACTGTTTGGAATTTCTAGCCTGTCCCAGGGTAGGGCAAGCTGGTGGGTCCCATGCCTTTTCGTAGTTTGTGAAGCCCCCCATGACAGCTGGGTCCACGATGCCGTTCAGGAGCATGGAGAGCGGGTTGATGGGCAGGCTGGGGTCGTCCAGGTGCTGCTGCACCATGCTGTTGATCTTGTCATTTGTCAGCTGCATGGTCTCGATGGCGTTCTCCAGGGGGCTAATTTCCACCTGCAAGGAAAGAGGAGAGCCTGACATCAGCCCCAAGGCTGCCTCTGCTTCCGGGGTCTCACCAGATGAGACACGTGTGCTCTGGGGCAGGCTTCCTGCTCCTCCATGCACCTTTCTTCCAAACAGAATGTTTGGGCAGCTGGGCATTTTATTAATATTTGTTCCCATACATGAAAATGCCAAAGGAACAAAGAAAGCGGCTGCGTGGCTCTGGGGGCGGGGACTGTGTGTGTGCACGTGGCTGTGCGCCTATGGGTCATCCCAGAAGACACACAGCCTTGAGTGGCGCTTCAACACTACCTGCTTCAGATCAGACACTTCCCATCGTGCTTTTGTTCTCTGCTTCTTGTGCAGAGAGAGAAGATGTTTGGGAATTTTGAGGAATCCAGGCCCGGGCAGCCTGCCTTACCTGTTTGGTTAGGGAGGTTGAGGGAGGTCAAGGGGGGGCCCTGCCATGGCACCACACACCAACGTGTGAAGGAAGAGTGATGACTGGGTGTGGTGGCTCATGCCTGCAATCCTAGCACTTTGGGAGGCTGAAGTGGGCAGATCACCTGAGGTCAGGAGTTCAAGACCGGCCTGGCCAACATCTCTACTAAAAATACAAAAATTAGCCAGGCATGGTGGTGCATCCCCGTAATCCCACCTACTTGGGAGGCTGAGGCAGGAGAATTACATGAACCCAGGAGGTAGAGGTTGCAGTGAGCTGAGATTATGCCACTGCACTCCAGCCTGGGCAACAGAGTAGAGAAAAAAAAAGGGGTGCTCACAGCCCCGTGGGGTTGGTAGGAAAAGGCTGCTTGGAGCACTCCAAGTCACCCTCACGGGCCTCATTTGCATTCATGCAGGAGGTGGGGGACTGACCATCTGTCCTCCTGGCTTCCCCTGCATGCCTCTAAGGGACCTCCACCCTCTTTCTCAGAGGACCCCATAGGACCTGGTCTGGCCAAATCCCAGCCCAGTGCTCTCCAGCTCAGCCTGAAAGTGCCAGGGCAACGTGGCTGGGTCTCAGGCAGGGGCCACAGCTGCCCTCAGGTCTTATGTGAATAGACCAAACCTCATCCCCATGCTGGGCCATGCGGACCATATCCCCGGGTGATCTCAGCAATAACGTTGCTCTTCCAAAGGAGGCATGACGGGCCCCACCCATGCCCAAGAGCCCTTGGTATATTCGTGTCCAGCTTTCTTCCTGCTGCAGCCTCCAGGGGACTGCCTAGGAGCTGGAGGTGGGGCAGAGCATAGATGAAGAGAACAAGTGACTTTGTCCATCAGCAGCCCTAGACTGGCACTCCTAGGTGGCTGCAGAGATAACAGTCTCTCTGCTCGCCAATGTGACTGTCCTTGCACCCACGGAGGGACAGCCTCAGGGAGACTGTGATGCACTGGGCGTGGCCAGCCACTGCACCCTTCTGAGAGGGCCCCTTGTCCTGTGTACTGGACTGCAGGCCTAGCCACGCTGTCCTGACCCCACATCTTGCTTTTCGAGGCCCCACGACATTTCATCCCAGGCACACAGCTTTGCCAAATGCACACTCAAGGACAGTGTTTCACCTGGACTGTTAACTCCCTGTTACTAATCTCATTTGCATTAAGGAAGAATCCTTTCCTATTTTTATCAACCAAGGTTAGCTGCTACCCTCATGGATATCCCACAGGGGTTGGTCCCAGGTGGCGCAAGGAGGGCCGCAGGGTTTGGTGCAAGGAGGGCCGCAGGGTTTGGCACAAGGAGGGCTGCAGGGTTTGGGAGCAGGACATCAGTCCTACTAGTCTGGGATTATCTGCCTTCCTGCCCTCTTAGTCAGGCCAAAATGGCCAGCGCAGCTGGAGAAGGAGCTGCATCCTCACGAAAGGTCAGGGCTCCCCTCTCCACCTCCCTAAGCTTCTACATCCAGCAGCCCGCTGGCTCGCAGGCCCCATGACAAAGGGCTCACGGGCAGAGGGTAGTTAAGAGGATCACTGCCTGTGTATGTGAAGGCCTGCTCTTCTGTGGTCTTTCACATGTACAGTGCCTGACCAGCTGCAAAGGACAAAGGGGGTACCTTTTTACCACCTGACACATAACTCCTACAGCCTTCTGTCAGGGACTGCCTGGCTATTAGGAGCACAGAAAGGGAACTCCAGAGCAGAAAGTGTCCCCAGGAGGGGTAGGCCAAGAGCCCTGGGTGCCTGAGCACAAGGAGGTGGCTCTGACTGTGGGCAACCTCTCAAAGAGAGCTGCTCATGCTCATGCTGCAGGCCAAGGAGAAGGCTGGGTGCTGGGCACACAGCTGGGCAGAGAGGTGCTGGGCACACAGCTGGGCAGGGAGGTGCTGGACACACAGCTGGGCAGAGAGGTGCTGGCCAGATCCTAGAGACAAATAATCAGGTGCTTCCGGGGGACTCATTGCAAATTAAATAGCAAGGGCCACCCGCCTCAGTGAGTTCTTGCCAGGTGAAAACAAAAGGCACTGAGACATATGAACAAAAATGTACATATTTCAATCAGATGTTATTATATTGCCAGTTGCCTTGGCCCTGACATTTCAATATTGTCAATAAATCTGCTGCCCAACTCTGGTTCATGTAAATGAAACTGTCCAATAGCTCACTGCAAATGTGAGTTTCATGTAAATGAAACTGTCCCATCTACAAAGTAAGGTTTAGCCTTGCTGAGAGCTGGAAAACATTATTTCTTTAAAAAAGGATCAGATGGGGTATATTCTCAGGCTATTTTTACTTGAAATGAGCAACGACTATTAATTAAGTTGTTTGTCATGTAAATGGCAACAAAACCATCAGAAAAAAATATCTTTTACAAAGTTTATGTAAATTGGAATTTGTCTTAAACTTTTCATTTGGTTAAGAGAAAGCACTGCCAAAACAGCCCAGCTATGACTGAATTTAAATATGTTGTAAGAAGAAATGAAATCTTTATTGTGGTTTTTTGAGAAGCTAGAGTTGATCATGATTATACAGCATTTCCACTAAAATATGGGTGGGCGAGGAGATACTGACGCTCTCAAGAACAGGTGGGGTGGTGACGTGACCTGGAGGGCCTGCACGCTGCCACAGGGACCACAGGGCAGAAGCAGGTGAAGAAGCTGTGGCAGACTGTATTGAGGAGGGCAACAGACAATTCTTTCGGGGTGAAAGCATCCTTACCATGAAAACAGACTTGACCTCAAACCACCTTAAAATTCCAGGTAGTTTATACGCAGTTGTGTATATGGTTCTCTCGATCCACATGTTCTGCAAAGGAAAAACACACACAACATGGGTTAGGAGAAGGACGTCAGCAGGTGGACGGCTCTGCCCTGAGGGGGATTTACAGAAATAACTCCACAGAAGTCACGTCCTTCAGCAGGACAGGATTTGTATCTGTGGTGCTCAGCGCAGGGCACCTGTGCCTTTAGGCAGCACCTGACAAGCCATGCGCTGCCTAACAGTCACTCAGGATACATCAAAGTAGCCCCTGTCCCCTAGCCAACACTGCCCACCTCTCTGGTATTTGGCAGTGAAAGTATACGAGGTGAGTGAGAAAGATGTGTATAAGTCCAGAACGAGCCCCTCTGGAGCAAATGGAATTTTAAGAAAGGCTCCAAAGAAGTCTTAGGTTAGCCACAGGGTTCAAAAGAAACTCAGAGAGACATCTTTGGCAGATAGGATTTAATCAAAATGACCTCTGATGTTCTGATATAATCAGCTGGTATTTTAAGCTTAAAATGTGTTGATGTAACTAATACGTGTTTACATGAGAACACAAAGATACGGAAACAGCAGGAGCAAAAACCGCCCTCTACCCTAAGCTGATAACCTACATGCTTTAGTATCTATTGTTCAAGACTTCTTACTAAGTATTAAAAAGTGTGTATATGCATATTTTAAATCAAAACATCATTTAACAATCTGTGTTCTTTGTAAAACAGTGTATTAAATATTGCAGGAAACTGTTCTAAGCCAATGAATACAATTCTCCTACTCTTTAAGGACTGCACAAAAGGGGTCAACTGGAAATCCTACCCTACCCCTCTTTGGCTTACGACAATCTTCTGCCATTCCGATCTCGCTGCACTGCAGGGTCACTGAGCAGTCCGAGTCTATCAGTAGGAGTCCAGACATAAGCAGACAGGATAATGGAATGCCAGTAATTCCAGAAAATTGGGCCAAGTGCGGGGGCTCAAGACGGTCATTCCAGCACTTTGGGAGGCCAAGGCAGGTGGATTGCCTGAGCTCAGGACTTTGAGACCGGCCCGGCTAATATGGCGAAACGCCATCTTTCCTAAAAACGCAAAATATAGCCGGACATGATGGCACGCGCCTGTAGTCTCAGCTACTCAGGAGGGTGTGGCACGAGAATCGCTTGAACCCAGGGGGTGGAGGTTGCAGTGAGCTGACATTACACCATTGCGCTCCAGCCTAGGCAACAGAGTGAGACTCCGTCTCAAAAAAATAAAAAATCCACAAAATTGGCTTGGATCTCGGAAAGCATTTATCCCAAACTTCTTAGGTTCCATAGGAGGAAAGGGAAGGACCTGGCTGCAGCTTCAGGAACACAGGCAAGGCCTCTGTCTTCTGGGCAGTGCTCCCTTTGCCCATGGGGACGGCTCCCTCAGGCTCTCGTCCTAGCAATGGAAGCAGGTCTGCCCTTCTCAGATCCTCCTCTGGACCAGATCTCCAGTGCTTTCTCTCAGGCCAGCATGCCCTGAGAGGGACCTCTGGGTTCCATCCTGGGCTTTATGGCCAACTCCTGCTGACGCAGGCCCTGCCTTGTCTCCCTCCCGGTCAGTGCCCTCACTCTCCAGCACATCAGTCACCCCTTGCCAGGTCTGCAGGTGCTGGGCCACGCCGCTCTACTCTCAGCCTGGTCGGCAGCTTCCCCAGTCCCTGCACTTGGAGCCAGGCTCCCTGCTGTAGGGACCGGAGCCTGGCTTCCCAGTACAGCAAAAGACTTTGCACTTATCTGGAAGCCTGAGGCTTTGTGAAGCATGTGAAGGTTCAAATCCTGCGGCTTCTGAACACTTTGTCCAAGTGCCCCGACCTAAATGGGGCCATTAGGGGATTTCAGGGCCATTTAGAAGCAGCGTAGTCTCTGAGGCTCAGCACAGCTCAAAATGTCAAGAGCTTCCGTTATTCTTAGCTCTGCACCCAACTGGCTGCGCACCCTTCAGCAGTTCACTTGACCTCCTTGTGTCTATCTCTTTAGCGCCTAAGAACATATCTACGTGCCAGATGGGAGAGGTGTGAGGAAAATTCAAGAACTCCCTACAAATCCCACAGTCAAGGGACTCCATATAAATACTAGCATTAGTGCTCATGAGGACAGTAACAGGTGCAAACCGCTCAGAAAGCCATGGCCCTTAGTGAGGATGTGCAGGTTGGTCGTGCCTGGGTGTCTGCCCTCACTGTTCCAGACAACAGACACTGCAATGACCAGTCCTGCAGGAGGCACAGAGCGCTGGCATTCACCAATAAATAGGGTCTTAATCTTGAAACAACCAGCCTGCTGGGACTGTGCAATCCCGCAGGTTTCACCCACTCCAAGATCCCTTGTGCTCCTTGGTGACACACAAGGAATCTGGCCTCAGGGCTGGAAGGACCTTCCCCATGGCTCTTAAGAGCTGAGAGAGGAGACTCACAGGTACTGCCCTGAGGATCCAATGACTGGGGGACCCCTGCGGGATTGGCAGGGAGATTGGGTGGACGCCACTCTTTACTTGAGGCAACGCTGCTGGAAGGGTTCCAAGCTTTGCTCTGGACAGGAGTAGGGTGCTAATTCACCTTTGACCTTTGAAGCCTTGATGCCTTCAGATGGCACACAAGAGAAGCCATTCTCAACAGAGCCGGTCCTCTTTGGCAGTCCCCAGGGCTCATGCCTCCTTGCAATATGGGCCTACATAGGGATTTCAGGAGGTTTCTCAGGCAAGATGGATAAACATGAACACTTTTTAAAACTATGGCTTATTTGATGCCTTTTCAACATGGATTCACTCGCTAGAGCCCAGGAGTTCAAGACCAGCCTGGGCAACATAGTGACCCCACATCTATACAAAAAAATGAATAAAAATACAAATGAATCCATGAAAGCAGTTAGTATGCAGAAATTTTAAAAGGCTCTAAAGATGTCTGTTGTTATTTCCACAACTCTGATGCTGTGGTTTGCAACAGGAGGAAGATATTTTATTTTTTATTTTGTAATGTCTGGAAACCGTTTCGTGTTTTTAGTTGGAGTTTCACTCTTGTTGCCCAAGCTGGAGCACAGTGTTGCAACTTCGCTCACTGCATCCTCTGCCTCCTGGTTCAAGTGATTCTCCCACCTCAGCCTCCCGACAGCTGGGATTACAGGCATACACCACCACACCCAGCTAATTTTGTGTTTTTAGTAGAGACAGGGTTTTACCATGTTGGTCAGGCTGGTCTTGAACTCCTGACCTCATGTGATCCACCTGCCTCAGCCTCCCAAAGTGCTGGGATTACAGGTGCGAGCCACCATGCCCGGCCTGGAAACCTTTTATGATTGCTTATTCCAATGGGGGTGGTGGCACTGGCACCTGGTAGGCAGAGTTTGGGATGCTGCCAAACATCCTTTGACACACAGGATGGTCCCTACGTCAGGGAACAACCCGGTCCGTATGGCCAGTAGTGCTGGGGTCAAGCCTGCAGTTGTGTGTTGCGCTCTAGTGAAGCTGAGGTGCTGGATACCGGATAAGGAGTGAGCATCTGGTCCAGATGCAGTTCATCTGCTGACTGCTGTGTCACCTGCAGAAGGCCACATCAGCACCCAGCACCTCAGTTCTCAGTGGGTCCATTTGTAACTAGAGATAATGGGCGCCAGCTCTCGCACCTGGGGAAGACCAACTCAGATCCACGCAGGAGGAAAGGCAGTGCGATATTCATATGGGAGCAGCGGCATTCGGACAGCATAGTCACCTTATTAAAAACTCAGTGACCTTAGTCATATTGTTAGTGAAGTGGCAATTCATTTTTCTGACTTTGGAGGGGGTAAAAGATTAGGATTTCTGCACATATTATACAAAGACATTTAATACTGTCCTATGGCTGCCTCTGAGGCCATACTTCTCTCCTAGCAGTTCTATTGGTGGTAGAATGAGATTTTTTGTTTGTTTGTTTGTTTGTTTTACCGCAAATTCATTGTCTGGGTTTTTCTCTCCTTTTCGGATTGGCCGAGAATATTCAAATCGCTGCACCTCGTTCACCCTGTAAAAACTGTACAGAGACAGATCATTACACATTTAACCCGGCAAACAGCCAATTTGCTTTTGGACACAGGGTCTGGCCTCAGAATATGTCACTGCATCCTATAAAATGCCCCTAACCTTGACCTGAAGCTATCACCGTGGCCTCCTCTCCCAGCCAGGGAGATGTTGGCAGGTGGAAAAATTAACCTGAGTTTTTACCTCTTCCCTATTCCTATCAACCCTCGAGGGAGAAGAGAAGCTGAATAAGAGTGAAATGAGCAAACACAGAGGAAAGGTGAGGCGAAGGAGACAGCAAAAAGGCTTTTGTGTTCAATGTATGTGTTAAAGTATTATATACTTTAGCTTCAGATCTACAAAGTACAGATTTTGCAACCACCCCGAGTGACACGCATGAAATGTAAATAACCTGCCTCCCTGGTGTGGGTGGGAGGCAGGCTTTCCATGTGCAGCGTGCACAGGGGCAGGTGTGGAGAGACAGATTTCCCTCCTTCACTGAAATGCATGCAGGCTTCCACAGCAAAAAAAACTACTGCCTCTGAGAATGCTCTAGGCTTCACTCTTTGCTTATTTCCTGTGGGAAAAAAAATGTTGCAACCCTTGTCGTTTGTAGGGACATGGATGAATCTGGAGAACGTCATCCTCAGCAAACTGACACAAGAACAGAAAATGAAACACCGCATATTCTCACTCATAGGCGGGTGATGAAAAATGAGAACACATGGACACAGAAAGGGGAGTACTAAACACTGGGGTCTATTGGGGGGAAAAGGGGAGGGCCAGTGGGAGGGGGAGGTGGGGAGGGATAGCCTGGGGAGAAATGCCAAATGTGGGTGAAGGGGAGAAGGAAAGAAAAGCACACTGCCATGTGTGTTCCTACGCAACTGTCTTGCATGCTCTGCTCATGTACCCCCAAAACCTAAAATCCAATAAAAAATTAAAAAAAAAAATGCATGCCTCATGAAAGCAATCGTTTGTAAATGAACAGGGTCCCGGTTTATTTCCCATTATTGCTGAAGAAAGGTCAAAGAAACGATGAAAGGTTAAAGCAACCACCAAAGTCCAGGCAGCAAAATGAAGCAGACCCTAAGGAATATGAGGTCATCAAAGAGATTAATATTTTCACCAGAACATGAATCGCACAGAACAGAGAAGTCTTAATATGAGACGCACCTGCTGAAGCAGGTCTTTCTATGCCATTGCAGTTCAATGGAGAGGCAGGAAATCTCATTCAAATCCGGAGAGTTGACTCGAGAGGTTTAAAAGCCCCCTAAAAATCCTGCATTATGTAATTGCTGTGAAGGCTTCTCCTGTGTGTCACCAGGAGTAAGTGTGCAAATTCCATTTCCCGCCTTCTAAAATGCAAACACTCAGGCCAAACCCAAACGTGTGGACTCGGCTTTGCTGGGAACGGGCAGGACTTGGGCCCTGCTGTAAAGCTCCCTAGGGGATTGTACCCCGCAGGGTACAATCTGTACGTCTGTAAAGGAGACCAGAGGGCCGCCGCTGCCAGCTAAGGCTTTTCCCATCAGCTGACTTTGGGAAAGGAATGCACGCTCCCAGCACATGGATTAACACCTCCTTTCACTTTTTTGGGTGCTGAAAATAATTACCTTCCCTTGCTCTTCAAAGAGGACAGAAAGAGCATTTGGGAAGCAAATCAAAGACTAAAATCCATCCTTTAAAAGGTGGAATTATCAGCAAGAGATCTGTACACAGCCTCTTACAGCCCTCATTTGGGTAAGAAAAACGGGATGATTACCTTACAATCTGCTCTGACACAGGCCTGTGAAACTTAGGAGGCAGATCGAGTTTGGGCTTTACTGTGAAGCACTGAATATCTGGAATAAGGGGTTAAGGATCACTGAGGCAGCGCAGACAGCAGCCATGAGAGAGACCTCCCACACCACACCCAACTGCCCCAGTGAATGGCGTCACCCTGGTTTCGCGGTCCATACGGTTTCTTAAAGGATACACTGGCCAGGAGAGTTTTTAATGTCTTCACCTGGTGGAGATGTTGTCTTCATTTTCTCAGCATTTGGAAACTGAGTTAATAGCCGAGCCTCAAAATCTTCCCGGCGCTCATACTCTTTCCCTCGGTAAATGAAAACTTTTCCCTGAAAAGGGCAACATTCATTTAATAACAGCACAGAGAAAGGGCCAGGAAGAGTTTGCATGCAATGCACCGGTCTTAAAATATGCTTGACGGGTTCTTACAAAATGTCATTGAATTTAAGAACAAGTTGCAATTTTTTTTAACGTGTATTGGCTTTGTTAATGAAGAACACATGGTCACAAGGCATCGGAGTTAATTCTGTTTTTAACAGGCACTGAACACTGAGTTACTAAAATCTGTGATATGTTTTAGTCTTGACAGTAACAAGTGATTTTAAAACTAGATGAAAAACCAAATGAGCAGGCAGAGCCCCACGGTGGAATGGGCATGAAATGGTTAGAAGGGGTTCAGGCGGCCGGGGCAAGAGGAGAATGATGTTCGTGGTTTTTCTTGTTTCTGTTTTCTTTTCAGATAGGCCCTAATTAAGTTGTTTTCATTCTGCCATAAAAAATTTAAGAGAGGGGCTGGGCACGGTGGCTCACGCCTGTAATCCCAGCACTTTGGGAGGCTGAGGCGGGTGGATCACGATGTCAAAACATTGAGACCATCCTGGTCAACATGGTGAAACCCTGTCTCTACTAAAAATACAAAAAAATTAGCTGGGCATGGTGGCGCGTGCCTGTAATCCCAGCTACTCAGGAGGCTGAGGCAGGAGAATTGCCTGAACCCAGGACGCGGAGGCTGCAGTAAGCCGAGATTGCGCCACTGCACTCAAGCCTGGGTAACAAGAGCGAAACTCCGTCTCTTAAAAAAAAAAAAAAAAAAAAGAAGAAGAAGAAGACCATGAGCAGGGGGGCCACGGGGGCACAAGAGACAGAAGTCTGGGGCATAATGCTTTCCAGGATGGGACATGTTTGCAGCGGTGCCTCTGTTCTTCCATCAGGGGACACTAGGGAAGAACCTCCAGGCTGAGTGGTCCCAAATCAGCTGCAGCCTTGCCCCATCTGCTGTCATTCCTGGACAGGTGCCAGAGAGGAAGCCCAACAGAGACAGAGGCAGACAGAGAGGGCTGCATTTTGCTGCTTATTTTCACACTTATCTCCTACAGACAAAGATTGAAGTCAAATTACAGTTTGTGTTACTCATGGAGTTTCAAAAGGGTTGAGAGCGATTCTGTGACACCCAATCAACTGACTTCTGCTGTGGTCTGAGTGTTTGCAGCCTCCAAAATGCAGACATGGAAACCCAGTCACCAAGGTGATGGTACTAGAAGGCAGGGCCTTTGGATTAGGTCTGGAGGGCTCCACCCCTGTGAAAGCGATCAGTGCCTTAGAAAAGAGGCCCCAGAGAGCCGCCTGCCCTTTCCATCCTGTGAGAACACATGGAAGGTGCCATCTATGAGGAATGGGCCTCCCCAAACTCCAAATCTGCTGGCACCTTGATCTTGGACTTCCCAGCCTCTGGAACTGTGAACAATACATCTCTGTTGTTTGGAAAATACACGTCTAAGGTATTTTGTTACAGCAGCCGAGGTGCACTAAGACAGTCCCCTTCTCTCAGCCCAGCTTATTCTGAGTTCTCATAAATCGCTAAAAAGCAACCAGTTTAAGAATTGAATTCTTTTTCACTTTGTGCTTAGGTATGTCTTAAAGTACCATTATGGAAGAAAAATGTTTTATTTCTCTCTAAGAAAAAAGTCAAGCAGAAACCAAATAATATGTAGTCTAAATTATAAATACACAGTTTGAGCATCTTCTAATGCTATATAAAGCCACACACTTCAAAAATTCAGTAAGATTTAATGTATAACAGACTACTATAAAACTAGCAAGCATTTTTTTATGGTTTACATGAGAAGAAAGACATAATAATAGAAATGTATATAAAGACTTTAATAGAAAAACACTAGTAAGTTATAGATAAAAACACAAATAACACTTTCTGGAAATGTCGGTTACTTTGCTTTCTGAAGTGATCCCTTCGAACATGAAAACAAGGGGAAAATGTACATATAGTCAAAGATATTTATTCCTTGTTAGGCTTATAAATATTAATATGAATGCAAAAAACAATGAGATCAATTTTTAGAGAAACAGCGGAACGGACAGCTAGTCAGTTCCTGGAGGCTCCTCTCCCATGCGGGATCAGGCACCCACACGTTCCACCCACGTTTTGGTGACTGCCAATGTCATTGCCAGACTGACCCTTGCCAGGTGATCTGTGAAGCGTGATAAACATATTGCTGCAGCCCCGCAGAATTATCCAGGTGTGGCGGGAAAGTCAGTTCTATATTAATCAAGCCTGTTAACCTCCATTCGGACTTTTCGTCCTGTCCTTTTGGCAGTGGAGATGACCCAGGACCATCCCTGGAGCCTGCAGAGTGTGAGCTCCCAGAACAACCTGGCGTCCCTTGGCTCAGGGCTACAATGTATCCTCCACACCCACCACTGCCCCCATATAATGTTCAACACAAGCTACTGCCTTGATCTGGATTCCAGGACAACCATGCTGCATGGGTCCATAGTCGGTGTCTACATATCCGCAGGCAGACCTCCATCCACGGGGCCACACGCACCATCTAACGCCAAGCACTGAGCAAGGCTGCCACGGCTTAGGGTCCGTCTCCTCCCTTTCTTAAAGAGGTATGTCCCAGGGCACATACACAGATATACATTCTAATTAAAGCCCTTAGTAACAGTAAGTGGCTTCAACTCCAAGTCATTCCACCCTTCAGCTTTTTTATTGAGAATGAAGTTAATTGCAAATTTGTCTCTAATTTAGAGCTTATAACTAAGCCTCCCTTATTCATTCTCTGGAAGGGAAGATTTTCTTCAGCATCTGCGCTTCTGATCAACCAGTCTTTGCTGCACAATAAAGACAAGAAAAGATGCTGACCAGCAGTGACCAGGCAGGACACTGAGGAGTGGGCAGCCAGCCACACCTTTGGGGGCAGCCACAACTGTGGGCTCTCCTGTCAACAGTGACAGGTCCTCCCTTAGGGGCAGGTTTGTACCCTCTGGGTGCCGTGATGAAGAGATGTCTCACACTATCAGTGACTCCTGTGGAATTGGAAACACAGGACCCCAAATAAGCAACGCTTGGAACCAGGGGAATCTCCCAACTGGTTTCAACTGCCCCAGACAGCTGTGCTCAAGACACAGAGCTTCTGCTTCCTAAAGCCAGAGTAACCACACGTGGTCTACCGGATAAGAGAGAACCACGTCCTAAATAAAGAAAGAAAGTTATAAGAAATATCAGGAAATCATGACCCCATTGGTCAATGGGATCCAAGAATGTGTTTGGAGAAAATGTATAAATAATCCTATGGAAGGCCAGGCAGACCATTAATATTTATACAACTTCTCCTCTGGCTTCGTGTGAATACTGGGAAATGGGCACCGGGCAGGTGACCACAGTGACTACTTCAATCACACGTCTGAAAGCACATGCCCGTCACAGGGACCAAGGCTGATTTGGATCTTCCAGCACTGTGGCCATGCATTTCCAGTTTCTCATAGAAGTAAAAACACACATCTTCACAGCAGCACACTGGGTGGGAACAACCCAAATGCTCACCAACGGATCAATGAATAAACAAAACGTGACCTCCCCGTGCACTGAAATACCCATCGGCCTTAAAAAGGATGCAGTTCTGACACACGCTACAACCTGGATAAACCCGGAAGACATTCTGCCAAGTGAAACAAGCCACACGCAGAAGGGCGGATACCGTACAATCCCACTACACAGGGTCCCTAGAACAGTCAGATTCACAGAGACACAAAGCAGAATGGTGGCTGCCAGGGACTAGGGGGACGGAGAATGAGGAGCCAGTGTTTAATGGATGCAGAATTTCAGTTTTGCAAGAAGAGAAAGTTCTGAAGGGAGATGGTGATGACGGCTGCACAGCGATGTGAATGCATTAATGCCACTCAACTATACCTTGGAAAATGGTTAAGATGGCAAATAATGTGTTACGTATATCACACCTCAATTAAAACAATACATGTCAATCTCTGAAGGAGGGTTTTTTTTTTTTTTTTTGAGATGGAGTCTTGCTCTGTTTCCCAGGCTGGAGTGCAGTGGTATAATCTCGGCTCACTGCAACCTCTGCCTCCCAGGTTCAAGCGATCCTCCTGCCTCAGCCCCCCAGTGGGATTACAGGCATGTACCACCATGCCCGGCTAATTTTTGTATTTTTAGTAGAGACGGGGTTTCGCCATGTTGGCCAGGCTGGTCTTGAACTCCTGACCTCAAGTGATCCACCTGTCTTGGCCTCCCAAAGTGCTGGGATTATAGGCTTGAGCCACTGCACCCAGCCAGGAGGGTCCTTTTAAGGAAAAATCAGATAGAAAGGTTATATGCAAATAAAGAAAATCTTGTCAGCTCCTCTCTGCCCGCCCAGGCTAACCAGCGAGCGCTATGGCAGTGTAGAGAATTGGACATTGCCACATGGATGCAAAGTCCCCATCCTTCCTCAGAATAGGAAGGGGACTCTCTGCTGGGGGAATGATCATGGCTCAGGTTAAGCAGAACCAAACTTTACCCGTAGGAATGTGGGGAATCCTTGTCCGTAGTAGCCAACAGCAAAATAGTCCGGCTTGGGTCTTATCACTTTGACGATATTTTCATAAAACTGAGCCTGTTTTTTCTGGAAGGAAAAAGACAATGCATTTCAGGTTTGAGCATTCAAGCATGTGTGGCTCTGGATTCTTCTTGTGGGCTTTTTAAGCTCTAGAAACTTGTGTAGGGTGGGAGAGGGAGACTATGGGAGAAGGAGATGGTGGGAGAGGGTGCTGAGGCTTGCACCTGAATTTCATCTCACTCCATTATCGCGACGTTATTTTCCACTCATTCTCCATCATTCCACAAGAGAATCTGAGCAAACAAGCCAAATTCAGCAACCACTTGTGACTTGTGGGTGTTTTCAATAACCAAAGAGGTGCCATAGAAATGTGTTTTCTTCTGATTAAATGGCTGGCCCTTCGTATTTTTTAAATGGTATGAGTCAGACAGTGGGATACATTCAAGGAGAATTTCAAAGAGCAGAATCGTTCTATTCTAAATCCATGACAAACGTTCCAATATCATGAAGGCGGTCTGCTCAACACAAAGATGACATGTTGGAGGAGGCAGCGATTAGAAACGTACAGCGCTTCCAGTCAGAAGAAAGGTCTGCTCACGATCCGTCCATCCCCATCTTGTAGAAGGGGCCAGTTTTCAACCAGTACAAACCCCCAGAGACTCCTGGGCTGTCAAGAGCACTACATACAGGGCCAGCAGTTGTTTATGCCTGGTTTGTTCCTAGAAGCCTGAAGAGTTTGGTTATAAGAGCTGACTTGGGACTAAAAAGTGAATATTTATGGGCGAAGTATCAACCAGCAAATAAACTAAAACCATCTTCCTGGGAAACATGGAGGGACATGGCCAAGGTCCCAGGGTGCTCAACCCCATCCTTGACATGGAAAGAGAAATTCCTGAAAAACCAGCTGAGATTGCCTGTGTTCATTTACATGGAAAGAAAGAAAGACTCACCAGCAATTCGCTGAGTTGCTCGTAATCAAACATTTCGTTTTCATACTGCTCGGCTAGCTCCTTGCCCAAGGCAATGGCCTCCTCCCACATCTGTGAGTTAAAATAAAGAAAGAGAAACGGAGACCTGAATCGTGCAAAGAGTAAAACACCAATGCAATCATCTAAAATAAAACAATGTGGAAGTGTATTTGAAGAAATGAAACACTATGAAAATAATACTGATAAAATACAAGTATTTTCTTGAAGCCTCTGTCTTCTGGCTCATGACCCATGGCATCAGTTGGCCAAACAGGTCAGTCACTGGCAGGTCCGTCATGCAGGCCTCTGGCCACGGCAACAGCAGCTGGTCGGTCTTCACTGCTCCTGTCCTTGCTCTCCTGCTGCCAGCTGTGGCCCGAAGCCCAGCTGGCAGAGCAGCCTTGGAGCCAGGGAAAAGGAATTGGAAGGTGAAGAGAGGCTGTGGGGTGCATTTATATAGAAATTGGGGGCCTGACTTGGCTCCTTTCCCAAACTGTCCACTTAATAGATGCTTATGTCGAAAATCATCAATGGTCAGAAATATCAAGGCAGACTTCGACTCTAAACTAAAGCTTGGAGAAAATCTGATGTACCTGTGTGACTATACCATGGATATAAAACCTGCCATCATTTTCATAAAGGGTAACTTTGGGGCCGGATGCAGTGGCTCATGCCTATAATCCCAGCGCTGTGGAAGGCCAAGGCGGGTAGATCACCTGCGGTTGGGAGTTTGATAGCCTTGCCAACATGGAGAAACCCCGTCTCTACTAAAAATACAAAATTAGCCGGATGTGGTGGTGCATGCCTGTAATCCCAGCTACTCGGGAGGCTGAGGCAGAAGAATCACTTGACCCAGGGAGGCAGAGGTTGCAGTGAGCCAAGATGGCACCATTGCATTGCAGCCTGGGGAAAAAAAAAAAAGAAAAGGGGGAACTTTGTAAGGTAAGTAACTTTCTAAATAACCAATTTATTAAAATGTTGATAAGCTGTTGATGCATGTGAAATAATTTGTTGATAGATAATTGGCCTGAATTTCCCTTATTTTTCTTGAGAAAACAAAGTGGATTACTAGAAAAAAAACATGGAAAAGTCAGAGGAACCACCTCTTTCAGGAAGCCTTCCTAGCTGCTGCCTCCTCTCCTCCTTCATGCTCTCACAAAGACCCAGGATCCTGCTGCCTCAAAGCTTTTGGTAATATACTGAAACTAGCATGCCCCTTTGTCATTCCTCTTCTGAGAATGGAAGCCCTTGAGGACAGGGGCTCAGCTTTATCAACCTGTAAAACCTTTGGACCTTAATCCAGGGCCTGCTCAACAAGGTTTAGTGAATAGAACTGCAGGATGTTGATTTACAATCAGGAAAGCTTCCTACCACCCCACATGCTGCATTCCCAGCCACGAATTACCACTTCTCAACCGCCGTCATTCCCACAAGAGGTCAGCGGCAGTCCTCAGGGAGCCACGCATTCCCCCTGTAACTTGCACTCCATTCCTTGCTGGGATGCTGAACACAACTGGGTACACTGCCATCCCCAGGAGGACAGCAATGACCACAACAGCAACAGAGGTGACAGCTTTGTAACCACCCAACAGGCCAGGCTTTCCAGCCCCCAAACCTGGACCACCCTTGGCACTGAGCCCCTACCTGCCTGCCGCACAAAAAAAGACCAAGGCATTGCAGTAAAGAAAGAGTTTGACTGACGGAAGACCAGCCACGCTGTTATAGTAGGTAGCTAGTCAGGCATGAGCAGGGCAGGAGAAGGCTCCCCTGACACCCTGTCAGGAAAGTCAGGTGACCATCAGGTGACGGTCAGGCAATTGTTACACCATCTCTCTAAAATAATAATTTGTCACAGACAGTGCCAGGGAAAGGCAGTCTCCCAGTAGCTAGAAACACCTTAAGTTGGTGATCAGTAACTTGATAAGATCTCAGGAGTTGAATGAGTGGGCTCAAGCATGTGAATTGAGAGGCAAAATGGCAGAGTTTAACGGGTAACTTTCTAGGGGCATTCCACTGGAAAAGGGATAAAAGACACTGGAAGTAGACCAGCATATAAACCCCAAGTCCAAGGTCAAATGGGGCACTTGACCTCCAAGATGTCTGCTTAGCCCTCTTCCAAGTGTACTGTCTTCATTACTGCTCTAAAACTTTTTAATAAACTTTCACTTCTGCTCTGAAACTTGCGTCAGTCTCCTCTTCTGCTTTATGCCCTTCAATCGAATTCCTTCTTCTGAGGAGGTGAGAACTGAGGTTGCTGCAGCCCCATAAGGATTTGCTGCCAGTAATGGTGCCACATGGGAGATGGAGTCATTATTCAAATCAATCTCCCCAAAGGCTGCTAGGTGAGGGGTTTTTCAAAGGCGGATTGCGAGAAGGGGTGGTGGCAGCCAGGTAATGGGTGCTTGTTGCTGATGGGTTGGGTCAGAGGTGAAATCACAGGGTGTCAGAGCTGTCCTCTTGAACTGAGTTGCTTCTAGGTGGGCCATAGGAGTGGGGTCCATGGTCTGGGTGGAGCCAGGTGTCAGACATGCAGAAAACCTGAAAAGATCTCAAAAGGCTGATCTACAATAGTGAAGTTGCCTATCTTTTGACCAGTCTATACTTTAGCAGAATTCAGGTTCCTCTCCTCTTCCTAGCCTGATGACCTTTCATTAGCTTTATAAAGGCGGCTGAGTTTTGGGAAAGGCCTATTATCATTTACACTAGAAACCAGTGGTCTCCCAAAGTTGGCTTAGCCAAAGCCCAGGAATGGTTACAGGAGAGGTCTGAGTGGGGTAGTGCGGGGCGGGGCAGGATTAAGATCAGATCTCTTTTACTGCCATCATTTCCTCACTTGATATTTTGCAAAGGCGCTTTCGGCTTTTCCCAGATTACTCTATGGCCAGCCACCTGTGCGCTCTCATTTAAGCTCCAATCACCTTGTCAGGTGGGCATCTGCATTATACCCATTTTGCAGATAGGAAATCTAGAGATCAGACCAGTAACTATCTTTGCCAAGGATACACAGCAGTTAAGCGGTGGACTTGACCCAGTGTGGCCTTTTGGAAAGTTCTTGTTCCTGACAGCCACATAGCAGCACTTCCAGCTGCTTCCTCACCTCCTGCAAGGATGGATTTGAAAACAGTCCAGGGTGGTCTTGAACTCCAGCTTCCCACAGGGGAGACAGACTGCCAACCCTCAAACTTGCATCACTCTTGGTACCTTTGGCACTGAGCTCCCACCTGCCCGCTGGCCTTGGCCTTTTCTTTTTAGGATGACCCCACTGAAGGCCTCACTAACTTCAGAGCCACCCGATAAACTTAAGAACACTGTTTTACTTAAATGCTCCCCAAATACTCTTGTCATAGCTACGATGTAAAGAAACCATCTGCTATTTTTGATGAGTAAAAGTTATTCTAGAATCAGAGCTGCATTTTAATACTTTGAATAACAAAATAAAAATAAGCCCAAAGAAGACAAAGATTTCAGAGCTGGGACCAGTGTCCAGGGAGGGTAGGAGGTGGCCGGAGACATCCTGCCTCCGGTCCCCACTCGGCCACCTGGGTCCCCTCCCAGAGTCCCTGTCTGTCTCCCCCATCCTGCTGAAGGCTTCCAGTTGCCTCCGTTCCTGGAATATCTCTCTCTGCTGCTCTAAGTCTTTCTTCTGTCCTTGGCCAGAGCCCTAGCTCACGTTTTCTGGGAAGGGAGAACTTCTCTACTTTTTTTTTTTGGTCTTTTATTTATTTATTTATTTATTTTATTGCATTTTAGGTTTTGGGGTACATGTGAAGAACATGCAAGATGGTTGCATAGGTACACACGTGGCAGCGTGATTTGCTTCCTCCCTCCCCCTCACCTATATCTGGCATTTCTCCCCATGCTATCTCTCCCAAAGAACTCTATTTTTAATGTTTTTTTAAGGCTCCAGTGGCCACTACCTCTCTAAGCATATTTCCATTTCAAAGAAAACATTACCTTTCCTTGTTGGTCTCTTTCATTGGATTTCTTTCTTGGTTTTCTGAAAGCGAATACAAACTCTCTAGCTGCCTAGAATGCCAGGGCTTCTGATTCACTGTTGAGTAAAAGCCTAATCTGTCTTTATCCTAAGTAACAGAGGAGGCACTTTAGATACATAACAAAAGTAATTGTTTTAAGAAGAAATACAAGTCTTGAGTAAATATCTTCTCAGACTCCCCCGCAGGTTACATGGTTGTATTTTCTATCAGATTTCCTGTAAATATGTATCTCTCATCCCTCCCCACTACCCCTGGCGTGTTTTAAAGGCCTCTGCATCAAGGAGATTTTCATCTACTTTTAATTGGATGGGGCTTTAAGGAGAGTGTGGGTAATTCATACTTCCAACGTGATTACCTTGGAAAATGTTTCCGTGCCAGACAGGAGGCAGATTCAATATGATCTAGATTTAGATTAACTCAGTGGAAGAATCACTTTAACCTCTGCGATTGAATGGCCTGGTTTGGCTCCGTTCTCAGAAGTGCTGCAGGCTTAGGAGGTTTGCCACAGCCCTAAATGAAAAGGCCCCATATCAGCAGACAACTTTGTTCTCCGACGTGCAATCCTTAATCCAATTTATGGCATTCTCAAAACCGCCGGCTGACTTGCAGCACGGAGCACCATCTCCCCACCCCTGCTTTCCACCAGATGATACCAGGCGTGTTCTTTTGAGATGATAATCTTCTCCCTATCTTTCTGAACCTCCTGGTTTCAGGAAGTTCCATTCCTTCAAGTTCCATGAATAGAAACTTGAATACAAACTTTTTTTTTTAATAATAAAACGCCTTCCTTCATTCCCAGACAGAAGCAGCTGTAGAGAACGTAGCAGGAACTGATTTCTTACCCATGAGGTGATGTTGACAATTCTGATAGGATGACAGACAACACTGATGACACAGGACAAGGGAACAGCAGCAGATGAAAGGGAAGATGCCAGCCGGGACAGCCGTCCCTTTCTAGTAATTCAGGCTGGCGATGACTCACCAGGATACTGGTGGGCGACTGGTTTCACTTGCTGACTGGCTGTAAGGAACTCACCAGTGAAGATACTTCATGGGATGCTTGAATTTCAGACATTC